ATTTATTGTAGAGATGAGGTCTCGCTGCCCAGGCGGGTCTCAAACCCGCGGGCTCAGGCAATCCACTCACCTCAGCCTCTCAAAGGCGCAGGATTACAGGCTGAGCCACCGAGCCCGGCTAGTTACTATTTTTTGTTGAAATTTTTATTGTCTCATTTTTGCATTATTCCATGAGATCACAGCTTGCACACTTCTTGTGAATTTTTATATGACTGGTTGTCTTTCATGGATGCTAAATAAAGTTTAATATGAAGTGATTAGTTTTTCACTATTTTGCAAAAAAGTGTGGTCAAGTTCCTGGTAGATGATCCACGACATGTCTCTGAGTGCAGTGGTTTTACCTTTTATAGGATTCAGAGTTTAATGTATGTCTATAAAATTAACCCAATTGATCATATCTGGTCAAATATACACTTCTAATCTTCATAGAAAGGAGGTCATGGTTCAAGCCTGGATATTGGTAAATGAAATTTTGAATTAAGTTCTGATTGCAAATACCAGAAAATGTGTTTTCCCCTTCCTAAATTAGTCCCATCTAGCTCTGAGAAAAGAAAGCTGACTTGTGTCATCTTCTTATCTTTATCTACTCAGTAATTACTAAATAGAGGCAGATTTAAATAGGTTCAGGTTCCAAAAAGGGTTTTTCTTCTAGAACTGTAACTCAGAAATGTAAAATTAACATTGGACATAATTTTTTTTTTACAGTGTTTAAAGATAATGCTGGAGAAATCTGGCCTACTAGGTAAGTTGTTTACAATTCACATCTTTTACTTAAATTATCTAGAAGCTTAATGAAAACTTTTACTTTTTTTCTCTCTAGGGTTGTGGGAAAAACAAATTGTATAGGATTGTGGAGGAAAATAAAGTAGTTTACATGTCTGTATGTATGTAATAAATTTTCCTGGTTCTTGTTTGCAAGCTGAAGGAAAACGAGTGGTAGATTAGCTCTGAGTAAAGAGAACCTGGATAGGATCCAGCAAAGATGCAAAAGAAATAAAGATCTATATACCACCTGAAATTACCCGGCTCTTTCACTGATTTTTTAAAATTTAATCTCATTGATTCAGAAGTTCAGTGCCTTCCTTTTAATGAAATGTAAAATAAATGAAAAAGTAAATCCAAGATAACTTGAAGTAGCTTTCTGGGTGGAATCTTGCAGTTATTTTAATGAGGCATCATTCTGCTTTCAGTAAGAGCAGCACTTTGCTGTTCTCAAACTTTGTTAAAGTGAAAACCTGTGACTTTGTTATCTGGAAAGGAAGTTAACATGTTCTAGGTGCAAGGCATTCTTCTAGAAGTGTACATGCAGTGTCTCATTTAAGTTTGGCAACAGTCCTACCATGCAGGAATTATTACCAGTTTCTATTTTTCAGATGAGGAAACAAAGGCTGAGAATGGTTACATGTTTTCACAGAGTTTCACAGCAAATTGTCTAGGTCTCTCGTTCAGAACGCAAGTTCTTTTCACCATGCTGTGCTGTGAAGTAATAATGTTCATTTTTAACTTATTGGTGATTTTTTAAATTGGTAATTACTTGAATTTAAAATTTGATGTAAATCTTACTGCATTTAAAACTAAGACTAATGACAAAGAGGATCTGCAAAGAAGAGTATTGGGATTCAAAAACTGTGGCCTGTGGAGATAAACATGAGATCTGTGTGTATTCCTTTGGCTGTTAGATGTTTTTGGTGGTTGGGGAAACTTTTTGTTTATAAATATTGCTATTTAATAACCAGGATTTCTAACTTTTGCTCCATTCAAATTTCTCCCCACCCACCCCCCAAAAATTATCTTGTCATTTTACCTATAGAGCAAGTATACTGAAAAACAGATACCCGATGAGAATCTATTTAATGTTTATAAATATTCACTTATACCAATTCATTATTAAAATGTTATTCAGAAAGTACTAGCACTATATTTTTGTTAGTTTAACTGCTAAGAAGATAGGAATAATTTCTTGTACACATTAGCAATTGCTGAGCAATGTTGGCAATACTTTCAGCTAAGACAGTTAAATAAAAATCAATTCATCATGCTTTCAGAAGTGATTTTATACTCATTTATATATGTACATATGTATACTAATGTGTGCTGTTTATATGCATTCACATGTAAATAATAAGTATATAAAGTAAATGTTGTATAACAGTAGCAAGTGTTCTCTTATCAACAGGGTGTCTGAATGAAACGTAATTGTACACCTAACCCTTAACTGTACCCCACAAAACTATAATAAAAATACTGATTAATTATTAAAAAAAAAAAGAAAATGACTGACGGTACTGGGAAACTATGGGGGGGGAGGGAGATGGGATTAACAGTAGCAAATATCTGTCTGGGGACAGGGAAACACCTCTTATCAACAGGGTACCAGAATGAAACGTAATTGTATACCTAATCCTTAACTGTACCCCACAACATCATAATAAAAAATATTGATAAAAAAAAAAAAAAAAAAAAAACAGTAGCAAGTGTTGTTTTTATTCATGAATGTAAAGTTTTTGGTGGAAGAGAGGCCAAATTAGCCAAATTGAGGACACAATTATTTCATGCTCTGGAAGATATAATTTAATTTTAATAATTAGCAATAATTAGCAGATTAAATCTCATTTGATATAACTTATCTAGAAGGACCATGCCTGATAGACTCTAAAAACATATTCTGACTTTATCCTGATTTTGATTCCTTTATAGGAGAGCTGTGGCATTTACGAAAGATGGATTGGTGCTATGAAGCTGGGGAGCCTTTATGTGAAGAAGTAAGATGATTTCTATACAATTTACTCTAAAAATGATTAAGGGTTTTGTGTATTTTTATTATACCCACCCCACTCATTAATTACTTTCTGCAGGATAGAAACATCTATGAATAGGTCTGTTTTCACTTTCTCTTACTGTAGTGTTTTTGATAGAAGAAAAGCGTCTGCTAGGTGGAAACATTTCTGACATCTGTGATAAATCTCCTGTTGATGAGAGAGAGCATATCCCTAGGAGGAGTAATTCAGTAAGAGGCCAAAAACTTCAGAGTAAAAATGACATTTGAACTAATGAAAGAATTTTATAGATTCACTCTGAAATTTTGACCCCTGAACATTTTAATCTCAGGTTTCTCTGTGAAATTAATGATGGCAGAATTCATTTTGTCAACCAATTACTTAGACTCTGGTCCAAACTCTAGATTCAGCCAAATGCTTTGAGTAGCCTTAGGAATAATTTTATCACAGAATAGTTGGAATCTAGTTAGTCTCCTTATGTTGATCCCATTATCATCAAACCCAGTCCAAACCCATGGCCTTAGAAGTAGACCCAAAATGAAGCTTTGTGAGAAAGCTTAGACAATCGATGTGGTCAGCTGCCCCTTTCCCTTATCTTTACCTGCTGGCTTTCTGTTTAGTAAGGGACAGTGATGTTGAATGTTAACAAAAGATTGATTTAAACAGGTTTGCCTTCCATTGGAATGTCCTTTGCTGTATAGCAGTCAGTCAGTCAATAGAGAGAGGCCCCTCTTTAGTTTTGGCTGGGAGTTTAACTGTACAGAGTAAGAAGTAAACCTCAAAGAACCTTCAGGACATACAATTTGGATGTCAAAAGAATATATTTACTCAGATAGCTTCAGAATTTTCTTCTCTGTTAATTCCCAAATAGGTATCAAACAGTTCATCTAAAAGCAAACTCATTACTCTCAAAACTGACTTATCTTTAAAGATTTTCTCTTTCCCACCCTCATCTTTAAGGGTAAAATATGGCTTACCCTACTTACTTTCATAATTCCTCTTAGCCTCCAAAGGCCTGTCAGCTTTTCCACTCCTTCCCTGACCATTTCCACTGTTACCTCCAGGTTCAAGCTTTCTTTTGTCTAGTACCTAAATTGCTACAATGGCTTCCCTGGGCCCAGGTGTTCCCCATTTCATTATGTCTACATGTAGCAACCAGATTGATCTTTATAAACGTCTCAGAAATCTTGAGTGGTCCTTTTATCTCTATCCCATATCTCTTCGGTTTATGTCTACCCTTTCAGTCCAGTGTTATTCCTGCTGCTCTCCAGCTGGGGCTTTCAACTCTAATCAGTCTGTTCTCTTAGTTCTTTACCAAAACAAGTAATGTTTACTATCAACCTTGACTTTGCCCTTGTTCCTTTTTTAATGATACTTATAGCTTATACCCCACAATTTAATACAGAATGCTATACTGATTTTATAGTCTTAGTTTATTTCCTTTGTCTTTAATATCTGCCTTATTACTCATTTATTTATTTCTTAAAAAGGTAATAGAGGTATAGGATTTAAAAAAGATCCAATGATTTGTTTGTTCCTTTCAGAAGTCATAAGTGACAAAAAAGAATTTCTATATTCCCAGGATGCAACATTGAAAGAGCTTATGATATGTTCTGGAGATACTTTGCTTTTAATTGAAGGAAAACTTCCTCCTCCGGTAAGATTTTCTTCTGAATAGACATTTCATAAGTAGTAGTTATTATTTTTTTATTACAGAGATGATATATTCTCATTGTGGGAAAATGGGGAAATACAGAAAATCATAAAGAGAATTGGGAACTTTCTCCAAATCCTACCTATCAGATATATTTCCTTCCCATAAATATTTTTAAATAAAATTAAAATCAAATGTATACAAAATTTGATTGCCAACTTTTTATATTTAGCATTTTAACCTGATCATAAAATCCAAAAACAATCATCATTTTCAAGGTAATGATTTACTACAATTTAATTCACCTATTTCCCATTGTTGGCAATTTAGCTTGTTTTTAATTTTTTTGTTCTTATAAATAGTATTTAAGTATAAAAGGATTTACATTTTTAAAAGGATCTTGAAATAGCTCTAAAGGTAGAATTACTAAGTCAAAGATATGAACTTTTTTTTTTTTTTGAGCCGGGGTCTCACGCTCTTGCCCAGATCATACAGTGGTATGATCCCACTGCTCACTGCAGCCTCAAACTCCTAGCTAGGCTCAATTACTCTTCTCACCTCAGCCTTCCAAGTAGCTAGGACTACAGACATGCCGCTATGCCTGGCTATTTTATTTATTATTTTATATTTTATTTATTTTATTTTTTTGTAGAGATGAGGTCTTGCTATGTTGCCTAGCCTGGTCAATCCTCACACCTCGGCCTCCCAAAGTGCTGGGATTATAGGTGTGAGCTACCACACCCAGCCTGGTATAAACTTTTTAAAGACTTAATGCTATATATTGCCAAATTGTTTTCCCCAACAAATAGTACCAAATTTATAATCCTATATGCAGTGTATGACAGAGCTCATGAAATGAGCTCTTTCATAAACATTACATATTATTACTACTTTTTAAGATCAATATTTATTCCTTTTTGTAAAATGTGAATACATGTAAAAATGAAAAAATTTAAAAATGGCCAAAAATTCCAGTACTCATAACCATTTGCTTATGATTAGAAAATTCAGTCAGGCACAATGGCTCACACCTGTAATCCCAGCAGTTTGGGAGACTGAGGTGGGAGAATCGCTTGAGCCCAGAAGTTCAAGACCAACCTGGGCAACATTGCAAGACCTCATCTCTGCAAAAAAATACAAAAATAAACTGGGAGTGATAGTATGCACCTGTAGTCCCAGCTACTCAAGAGACTGAGGTGAGAGGATTGCTTGAGCCTGGAGATCGAGGCTGCAGTAAGCTGGGATCCCACCACTATAAACTAGATAGGCAACTCACTGAGACCCTTTCTCAAAAAAAAAAAAAAAATTATGGCCTACCATATTGTACAGTCTTCTAAAGTAGATCTTGAAGTTGGTTCATGGTTTTGCTCCCATAAACAATCTGCATGAATGTCTTTGCATATATGGCTCTCTGAGCATACAGTAGTATAATCAAAAGGTAAATTCCTAAACATGGAATGGCTAGCTCAAAGGACTTGCACATTTTAAATTTTGACAGATGTGGTCAAATTAGCCTCCCCCAAAATTGCAGCAGATTATATTCCTGCCACCAGTTTATAAGAGTTAAAGTTTACCTGTATTTTCACCAATGTAACTTTCTGATTTTTGACAGTCACAATCTGCTAGGTGGAAAAAATGGAATTTTATTGTTCTGATTTACAGAACATTTACATTTAATTGAATGTAGGTTGTGTATTTATTAATCTTTGCCAATTTGACAAACAAAAATATTGTAGTGTGCATTTCTTGAACTATTATATTTAAAATATTTTACATGTTATTTTTCACATTTTCATTTTTTATTGTTAGAAATAGAGTGTTGTAACAATAATTTTGTTATCACTTAATAAAACTATTAAAGTTCTTTACTAACAAAAAAAGAGGTGGGAAGGTCTAGCTAAATTAATAAAACTGAATGAACAGGGGTTTATTTCACGTAATTTGATACAAAAATCCAACTTAGACCAATAGGTTGTTGCTTCTATATGATAAACTGAGCTGCTGGGACTGGTACTATGTCAATGGTGCTCAGACAGTGCCAGGAAATGCTGGTGCAGTGTGTACAGGCAAATATTTTGTTACTGTTATGCTTCTCACTTACTCTATCTACTAAGATACTTTTAAGCAAAGGACATTTAGTCTAGTCACAGAAGTTTGATTTTTATGATTTTCTTTTTTTCTTACTTCATGATTTTTATTATTTTAAATTTTTGAGTGCAAAAACAATAAACAAGTATAATTTATGACAATTAATTAACCTAAAAGGAAAAATAATAAATTCAGGAACATTTTATATCATCAAGACATTTCTCTCTATGAAAGCAAAAGTGGGCTGAGGCGAATGGATTGCCTGAGCCCACGGGTTTGAGACCAACCTGGGCAACTTGGCAAGACCTCGTCTCTACAATAAATCAAAAATTATCCAGGCATGGTAACACACACCTGTAATTAACTTGGAAGGCTGAGGCAGAAGGATCACCGGAGCCCAGCAAGTCGACCCTGGGATGGTTGTGAGTGTGCCACTGCACTCCAGCCTGGGCAACAGATTGAGATTGAGAGTCCAATTCAAAAAAAAAAAAAAGAAAGAAAGAAAGCAAAAGTGGAGATTCATTCAATCTTTGTACACTACAACATTTAAAAATGCTTCAATCTTCAGGGCTTCCTAAAGGTTCCCATCTGGTGGTACCAGCTTCAGGCTCCCTTAGGACACTGGGAGAGTCATCAGGACCAGACCAACTGTACTCCTTCTCAAGATGGGCTATGGAAGACTCCTTCCACCCAAGGTGAGGACAGAATGGAGTTTCAGCAACCAGTGTGGACGAAAAGTGAGATGACTGCTTCTTCTCTGAGAGGCAACTGAAATATTTGTTTTAAAAATACAAGATTAAAAATCAAAACCTATGTATTCTGGCCAGGTGCAGTGGCTCACGACTATAATCTCAGCACTTTGGGAGGCCAAGGTGAGAGGATTGCCTGAGCCTACAGGCAACTTGGCAAGACCTTGTCTCTACAATAAATAAAAAAATTAGCCAGGTATGGGTTTTTTTGAGTTGGAGTCTCACTCTTGGGTGACAGAGTGAGACTCCAACTCAAAAAAAAAAACAACCCCAAAATACCAAAAAAAAAACCCCTATGTATTCCATTAAGTCATTCCATAATAATAACACCATCCTATTTTTATATGTTGCTTTGTAACCTCTGCAAAGCACTATATATCTTTTTGTTCCATTTATTATTATATCAACATATACTTTTCAGAGACCTTGTATGTATCATCTCTCAAGATCCTAAGGGAAACAGAGGCCCTATTCATTATCGTGTACTGGGATATTGAGGCCTCAACCAATACTGACCCATGGGGACAGAGACCAAGGTGGGAGTCCATATCCTGCCCTACCTCCTGATCTGTCTGCCTTTGCCACCAAACCTCTCAGGAACTGCTTCTGGGGCATCTGACATCATCTCACTGACTTGTGGGAAGAAATATTTTGTCTTACTGAAAATTTAGCATACTCATCACAGTGGGCAGAAGTCGCTATCAGTGAGTTGAATTACCTTTGTACAAAGCAGAGTTACACTCTATTATTTAAAAAAAAAAAAACACCACCTTTTCGTCTCTGTTGTAACTGTAGATAAAGATATATTTTTAGTAGATCCAATTTTTTAGCTATATTTTTATCATGCTTTACTTAACTATTTAGCTTTTTTGTGCCTTAAGTATTGTCGTATTATGTATTTTTTAAAATCTTTTAAGGCTCAGTAATGAAATTAATATAAATGAGTCAAAATCATATCTCCTTGTTCTTTGAATTTAGGATTATATGTATAGAGTAACATAATATGTTGAGTCAGCTATGAAATTGGCATAAAGTTATTTTTTAGTTGGGCTACATTAGTTTATGTTAACTAATTCTAAAAATGCGTTGGCAATAGAATACTAGTTACATATAGAGTTGGATACAGATTTAAAAGCATGTTTAATCAGTTTGCTTCTCCATGAAAATAAAGAAAAACATTCATTTTTTGCTAGTACTTTGTCACAGCAAATGAGAGGTACAGTCATGTGTTACTTAAAAATATGTTCTAAGAAAAGTGTCCTTGGGCAATAGTATCACTGTGCAAACATTGTGTTTACACAAAACTTAGATGGAATGGCCAACTATGCATGTAAGCAATATGGCCTAGCCTACTATGCTTAGGCTACAAATCTGTACAGCATGTTACTGCACTGAATACTGCCAGCAGTTATAACGTGGTGGTATTTGTATATCTAAACTGAAAAAGGTACAGTAAAAATGCAACATTTTAATCCTATGTGACCACCATCACATACGTGCTCTGTTATTGCCTGAAACTGTTATGTGGCACATGACTGTATGTTTTATTGTTTAGAATCCACTAAAATTGTCTTTTGGGTACTACCAGCCTGTATTTTCCTTAAGACACTCAAACTATTCATGCATTTAATTTACTTATAATCTATCCATAATGTCTTATTATGTGTGCTTAGCAGTAAACAATGACAAAGCAAAAATGAGTAAAGATATTCTGAATTTAAAATTTAGTTGCCAGAGTTTATGTTCAGAGTTTTTGATGAGAGGGCATTTTATTTCTCTCTTTAAAAAAACAAACTTGGAAAGGACTTTCTAATGTCAAAATTTCTCTCATTCATTAAACTTCTATTGGGCATTTGCTATGTGGCACCCACTATGTCAGGCACTGAGATGCAGACAAGATAGGTGGCCTCTCCCTCTTGAAAATCCTATTCTCTTGTTCTCTTGAAGAGGCATATCAAACACATGCACATATAGACACACATGAAAATAGACAAAAGAGTAACAAGTTGGGATGAGTGTTATGAGAAAGAAACAGGAAGCTAACATAAGGAACATGGGTTGAGCATCCTACCAACAAAGTCTAATGTGAGAAAGGACACAATGTGGAAAAGAATATTCAAAGTAGATGGCATAGTGTAAAATTCCTCATGGCATTCTGCCAGCACTGTGCCCCTGACGGCTTGCTAACCAAGCAGGAGCACCCCAAGCAATCATGAGGGTGCTTATTCGAGGGACCTGGATTTTATTTTATTTTTTTTTGAGTCAGACTCTCACTCTGTTGCCCACGCTGGAGTGCAGTGGCATACTTACAGCTACCACAGCCTTGACCTGCTGGGCTCAGGCAATCCTTCTGCCTGAGCCTTCCAAGTAGCTGGAATTACAGTTGCATACCACCATACCCGGTTAATGTTTTTATTTATTGGAGAGATGAGGTCTTGTCAAGTTGTCCAAGACTGGTCTCAAAACCCTGGGCTCAGGCAGTCCTCTTGGCTCCACTTCCCAAAGTGCTGGAATTACAGGCATGAGCCACCATGCCTGGAGAGATCTGGATTTTGAGTGGAATTTTAATAAGCCTATTCACAATATCAAAACGTGGCAATGCGTTTCAGAAATATGCAATAACTAAGTTTAAAGTTCCTTCTAACTATACAGCTGTGTCCTTTGGAAGGTGCTCCTGGGAACGTGCCTGCAGAAGTTTCTCTCCTCTACTTGGGAGATGTGGAGATCTCAGAAGATGCTGTGCTGGCAGATCTGAAGTCCCAGGTCAGACTTCTTCCTGCAGCATAACTTAGTGGTGATAAGGCTTCTTCCAGTGAGATATTAATATATTCTTCTATCTCCTTTTCCCTCAATTACAGTCTGTTCTGATATGGCATTTGTCATATGCCATGTTCAGTGGTAAGTACCCAGCAGGCACCACACGCCCATGGCGCAGACAGCTCCTCGTGGCCCTCACTGATCCCTACTCTGGCAGGCATGCTGTGCTTTTGTTTGAATCTATTCTCAGTGACTTGCGGCTTATGTTCATTTTTTTTTTTTTTTTAGGGAAACATGGTTTCTTGAAACATTTGTAAAGCATCCACTTTACCCCTTTATTTACATTGTTTTTGTATCATTGTGATCCATATGTTAAATGTTGTTATGAAAAGCTATGTTATCAGTTTCCTAGGAGGTCAGAATAACAGCTTTTATGTCAGAATGCTAAACTAGGTAATGTTTTCTTGTGCATTAACATTCACAGAGAACGAGGGTTTTGTCCAAGTGAAAAGACTGGATTAAATACAACAATGTTGAAAAGGCATTTTACTATTGTTGGACTGAAGTGATCATCCCTACTTTCTCTTGAAGGAAAAAATGTGGAGGCATATATATGAGCAGTTGTTGATGTTTGGCTTTTGTGTATCTTCATTGAATGAAATAACCTTCCTCCAAAGAAGCAAACAGCTTTATTCTCATGAGAACAAATGGGACAATACTTTTTTTCTTATATTAGGTTGAAAGATACAAAATTGCTGTTTTATGTCCAAAAAAATGGATGAATATTGGCAACTTCATATGCTTCAACCTAAATATAAGAGGGGCTTAAAGTTATCTACCCCTGCAGAAGTAAAACAAGCAGTTTGGGCCTACTGATTAAAGCCAAAAATTTTGGAATATTTCAAAATCAAAAGTTATTTCATTGGCAGAGCAAACATTGTTGAAGGATTGTATTAGCACTGATGAAAGTTAAAGACAAACCCCTTTCTTTCAGACTCTACTTTTGTGAATTATACTTACATAGAAATTCTTAAGTTTCATTTTTTGAGTCCTGATGATTAAAAAGAGCTTTTGGCTCAGATTTTAAAATAGAAAATTCACTTCTCAAGCTGATTTCAGTGGAGAGGAACATGAAAATTACTCAGGATTAATTTTATTTAAGAGAGAAATATATATACCTGTGATTTAGTAAAATAGATTTTGTCATTACTTGAGATACTCTTTCCCTCAGATGTCATTGTGTAGTGCTTCATTTTTTTCTAAAGCTGTATGTTTTTCAGAGTGTTTTTTAAAACCATTGGAGAAATGTCTGTTTCTTTTGCTAGGCTATGACCTTATCCACGTCCCCGGAGTTTGGTGTTCCATCTCCAGCCTTCCTCAGAGCCTGGACAGTGGAGAATAAGCGCCCAGGCAGGCTTCTGAGAACCGACCGGCAGCAGCTCAAGTAGGTCCTTGTAGGATATTCTGCCCTCTCCATTGCCACCACGATGCTGGGTACAGAGAGGGATGAAGGAGAGTCAGTTTTTTGAGTCAGACAGTCCATTCCTGATGATCCATGTCTGTGAGCTGGATGATGCCTCTTATCATAAATTAAACCCTAGGACATCTTTAGTTTTCCATGTTAAGTATGAACATCATTTTGTGTATCTTCTCTATACTGCAGAGACTGTGATGTTATCATATCTTAAAAGTGTTCGGAGTGAGGTGGAAGGCAGAGGTGAGCTCTTTCTTATTCAGACATGTTGGCTTCACCTGGTCCTCCTCCTGGAACTCTGAACTTCAAGGGCAGGTTTGGGGCATTACATTTAGTTACTGGTTTTCTTTGCAAAAAGCATCCCTGAGGGCTTCTTTTACTTCTGTGCTGATTACCCCTCAAAAGTGACTGGCATGAGAATCTAAACCCTGGCCAAACAGAAGGAAATTTCACCATCCTCACAGAGACAAGCCTCCATGTTTAGTAAGAAATCACCCTAAATCATCACCACTTCACAGGTTCTAGCTTTCCCTTTTTCTGGAAACTTGAATGTTCTTATATGGTCCTCAAAAAACAGGCCTTTGCTTAAGAAACAAGGTGTTTAAAAATTGATAAAGAATTATTTAACCAAGCTAAATGATCTGTCACACAATATGATTTTGTTTCACTTATTATCAGGGAATATAAACTAGGACGGAGAACTGAGATCTGCTTAGAACCCCTTGAGAAAGAAGAAAACTTGAGGTAAGAAATTATATTTCACATCTGAAGTTATGCACACATATCATACTGAGTAGTTTATCTCTGTAAAAATTTAACAACTTAGGCCAGGCGTAGTGTTTCACACCTGTAATCCCAGCACTTTGGGAGACCGAGGTAGGAAAACTGCTTGAGCCCGGAAGTTTGAGACCAGCCTAGGCAACATAGCAAGACCTTGTCTTTACAAAAAAAAAAAATCAAATAAATTAGCCAGTTATGGAGGTGCATGCTTGTAGACCCAGCTACTTGGGAGGCTAGGCTCATAACAACATTTAACACGTGGATCACAATGGTACAAAAACAATGTAAATAAAGGGGTAAAGTGAATGCTTTACAAATGTTTCAAGAAACCATGTTTCCCTTAAAAAAAAATGAACATAAGCCACAAGTCCCTGAGGATAGAGTCAAACAAAAGCACAGTATACCTGTCAGACTCAAAAAAAAAAAAAAAAAATGAACATAAGCCACAAGTCCCTGAGGATAGAGTCAAACAAAAGCACAGTATACCTGTCAGTCTCCAAAAAAAAAAAAAAATCACTCATTGTCTCAGCAGCCTAAGGAAAAATGGTACTTTTTGTTGCCCTTTTTCTGCCTTCCAGTCGTATCTGTCGTTTTTACTTTGTGTCTTGTAACGGTGTCTATACATCTAACTTTTCCTCCCATCTTTCTGAGCATTTCTCTTTTTTTCTGGTTTATTTTAAAGTTGTGGAGTACAAGTCAGGATTGGGTGCATGAATGGTTTAGGTACAGTTGAAGTTTTGGACCTCCTGTTGGACCCTACCTCACCTGGATTAGGATGAGGCACCCTTATTAATGTTATGTGCCCCCTTCTCCCCTGGCAGTGTCCTGCTACTGCCAATCCCATTTTTGTAGTATTATGATAGAAGTTCAGGGTCCACTTGTGAGTGAGAACATGTGGTACTCAATTCTTTCTTTCTGTAATAGATCACTGAGTATAATAGACCCCAAATCCATCCAAGTTTCTGCATTAAAGAAGGACAAAATTATGGACTTCACAGCATTTCTTTTTCTTCTCCTGATAAGGTTTCTCCTGCTCCTGCAGCTGCAGCATCATCTCTCACCACTTCTGAGTCTCTCTTCCTAACTCAAACCCTCATTTTTTCTTCCTGGCTAACCCCCCGTAGTCCTGATTTACAGCTCCCAAGATCAAGGGCATAAGCATCTGCCTGAGCCAGCTTTCTTCCTGCCAGCTGCCTGGCTCTGCTTTTCATCCTCAGTTGGGCTGTACTCTTCTCACCTCTTCCTTTACCACATGCAGTCCCTGCCCTGGACCTCTTTCCTTCCCTTCACTGAGCTGTGGACTCAGGATGGAGTCTCTGCTTCCCTTCTTTGTCAGGATTGAAGGAACAAGGGTTTGCCACTAGCATTTAGGACATAGGGAAAATCTCTCAGAAAAGTTGGAGGGAAAGCTTTGCCCATCACACTCCAACAGTTACCATGTTTTTCATTTTGTTTGTTTTGAATTTGGCATGTGATGTTTTCTGGTGCAGCCCCCAGGACGTGCTGCTGAGGACACAGATGCGCATCCCTGGCGAGAGGGCCTACAACCTGGCTGTGGACTTGGTGTGGAACACTACGCGGGGCTGGACCGCCAGCTCCCTGAGACAGAGAGTTGCTGATTTCTGTTGTCTTCCTGTGGAGAAAATTGAAATTGCCAAATACTTTCCCGAAAAGTTTGAATGGCTGCCAATATCTAGTTGGGTAAAGCTGTGGGGCTTTCTCAGAGAAATTGGGATTTACTGGCATAGTGGTTAGATTAACTGCAATTTTTCACAATGATAGAGAATTGACTTGGAGTAAGAATTTGACTTGGAGTTTTGTTCATTTAAGGTGTTTGATTTTTCTACAGAACCAGCAAATTACCAAAAGGAAAAAGAAGAAAAAACAAGAGAATTTACAAGGGACACCTTATTACTTGAAAGATGGAGATATTATTGGTGTCAAGGTAAGTTGTTTAACAGCAAATTTACCACTTTGACAAGACATGATGAGGGTCAAATTATTTTACAGAGAAGTTTTGGCAAATCTCCAAGACACAGACAATTTTATTTTATGCAAATTGTTTCGGAGAATAGATTTTTTTAAGTTAGACAACTCACTTTACAACGCCAATAGAGTCGGGCGTGGTAGCGCACGCCTGCAGTTCCAGCTACTTGGAAGGCTGAGACGGAAGGATTGCCGGAGTCTAGCAGGCGAGGCTGCGATGGCTGGGAGTGGCCACTGCACTCCAGTCTGGATGACAGAGTGAGACTCCAACTCAACAAAAAAAGCAAGGCCAATAGAACCTCGGTACCAAAACGGTCAAGGACAGTTAAAGAAAACGTAGACCAGTTTCACTTAAGACCATAACTGTAAAATTCTAAATGAAGCACTAGCAAGTCCAACCCAACAGGTATGCTTTTTAAAAAATTACTATATGACAACAGAGTAGGTTTGTCCAAGCAATGAAGGATGGCTGTGTCAAGAATATGTCATCTGACAAACTGTCCTGCCAGGTTAAGGAAGAACAAGAATATGTTATGTGCTACACTGTCCTGCCAGATTACAGAAAGAAAGTCAAGTGGCTAATCCAGCAGATGCAGAAAAATCATAGAACAGAATGTAATATTAGGAATCCAGTGTACATTCATGATTTGAAAAAGCAACTTAGAACAAATAGGAATAGAAAAAAATGCCTTAACCTAACGGAAGCACCTACCCTAAACCAGCAACATACATAGTGACAACTTCAAAAGAATTTTCATTAAAGTGAGATCCAAAATAAGGATTCCCTTAATCAACCCTTCTATTTAACATGGCACTAAATGAATAGGCAATGTAATATAACCTCCCTACGCCCCTAAGAAAAGTAAATTCATAAAAATTGAAAGAGAAAAAATAAAATAAATTTTGAAAGGAAGATATAAAACTGTTCTTACAAAGGAGATTCAGGAGACTGTACAGGCAAACCATTAGATCTGATAAGAGAATTCACAAGGTTCCAAGATCAATAGCCATACAACTGGGAGATGGGAAGTCTGTTGTGGTCAACGTGATGATTTCTACATAGTAAGTTCTTAACTTATATCCCTTTAAGGCCCCTTGTTAGGTCCACTTCCAGCAGGAGCTATTGAAGGCAAAGGTCAGATGAAAACTAACTTCCCTCATGAAGCTCTTCCTCTCACCCTCTGAATTTGTTTTCATCCAGCAGTAGAATTTTTTTTATCTTATTAACCTGGTTTATGCACATTTGAATATCTCCTTTTGTCTAGGTAATTTTCTAAACATATCTCTTTTAAATGTAGGCTAAAAAGATGTCTGAACACATTACTCATTAATTATTTTGAAATGTAGAATCTTCTGGTTGATGATGATGATGATTTCAGTACAATCAGAGATGACATTGGAAAAGAAAAACAGAAACAACTCACCCTGGGGAAAAAGAAAAGGTAATGACCAGGATTTGTACTGTCATGCAGCTGATGGATGCCACACACTTTTTCTGACTCCTGCCCCTTGTTCTAGGAAACTTGCACATAAAGAAACACAGCATTGTGGGCTCTTCTCTGCTACCCACATTCTCACCTCATTAGATGGCCTCTTCCCAGAGCTTTCTGTAAAGCGCAGTGGAGCGGCCTTGCAAGGAGACCTGTGCCCGTGCTCTGCGCCGGGGCTCTTCCGCAATCACGGTCGTCCTTTCTCCTCATGCGCAGCCTTGCCCCATTTTCTGAGTCTTGGCTTTTTGTTCAGACGCCAACACCCTCAGGTCTCCAGCATCTAAAATTCAGAGCACTCTGCAGCACACACCCCACCTAGCTGCCTCTTCAACCCCTGCTGCCGTCTGCCTGTGCTTCGCTGCCCTTCTCACTCGCCAAGATTCCCAGAGCCCGGCTCCTCTGCCAAGGGACGCTGTGTCTTCAGCGCCACTTACCCTCTTCTCCAGGGCACTGCCTCACCCCTGACCATCCAGCTGTCGCATGCCCCTCTCTTCCCTTCTGTAGCCTCCCTCCCTCCATCTGTCCTCCCAGTGCTGGGCCCACCTGCTCTTTCCTCTCTCCATGCTCCACCTGAGTCCTTGCTGCCTGGAAAGCTCACTCTGCTTCCACTCGGGGTGAGCCATGCAGTCTGTGCATAACCCAGCTCTCTCCTGGCCTCTAGGCTGAGCACACCCACCAAAATCTCTACAGAACAGCCCACAGAAGCTTCCACTCCGGGAACTGGCTGGTGAGATTCAGTTCACTATGCTTGGCCAGCTCACCACTAGGCAGCCAGCACCTGACCCATGGTGTCAGCTCCATGAGGGACAAGATGTACCAGAGGCCTGCTGGGCATCTTTAGCTTCTCCCCACTCCCAGTCTCAATGACTCTGGCTCTCCTAGAACAGCGTTTCCTCATGTTCTGACTGCTCTGCCTTGGTAGGTTTTATCTGTGCTTACCCAACTACTGCATAGGCCTTGAGGTGATCTGCCTGCCTGGCCTGCCCCTGCTCGCCTTCTATTCTCCCTCTCCTCCCGCCCTTCAGTATCTTGGGTACCGACCTGCCAGGCATTGTGTGCCTACTGCTGTCAGGGTGCCTGGCCCTGGGTAAGAGAGGTCCAAGGTGAAGGTGGTGAGGCAGGTGGGGCTGGGTGTGCAGGTCCTTGTGTCCATGGCAAAGAGTCTAGAATTCAAATGCGGCTAGCAGCCTTTGGAGGACTTGAAGGGGGACACATTTAAATGACCTCTGGTGCTGTGTGGTGCATGGATTATAGGGGCCAAGAGTTGAACAGGGGAGACTAGTGAGGAGACTCATGCTAATTATGTTGAGGTGATGGTGGATTATACTGGGTAGTGAGGATGGAAAGATCTAGAATGTGGGCTTCATATGCAGAGGAGCTTTTCCTCTCTTGTTCACAGCTGTATCTCCAGGACCCAGAACCGTGCTTCTGTATGCTCAACAGACACGAGTGCAGGGAGTTTTATTCATTCATTTATTCATTAGATAGAGTCCAAATGGTTGCCTGTGTGTGGTGTCTCAGACCATGATGCTCTGCTTCCCTTGCTCCTCCTCTTGCAGGGCTATCCTCCAGGGCTTGGCCCCTGGACCCCAGGGCACTCCTTCCTCTCTTCTCTTCCCATGCCCTAGGGTGATTCTGGGCAGCACTTGCCCCATGTTCTTTCCTGTCTCCCTGACTGCCCTGGGAGTGCAAGAGACACCCATTCACAGCACTTCACAAGGCCTGGTGCCCTCAGGGACCTGAAGACAGGAGGAGAGGGCTCTGGCTGCTTTGGGGTTCTCCTGCTTAAAGGTCACACATACGTATTTAAAGTCTCAGGTAAAATTCTATGTCAAACATATATCATACACATACACTAAAACACTGCATTTTCTACCTTAGTTTTTAGCTAAGGTAGAAAATGCAGTCACCAGGGCTGTTACTGGAGTCAGCCACCAGTTTTCCAGGCCCTGCCATCTTCATTTCTGTCTGCATTGTTTGAGATAGTGCATATTTTAAGTTCGTGTTGCTATCACTGAAAATCTTATCCTAAGCCTCATGAGTCCCATTTGCATATTAGAGCAGTTGTGTCTTCATGAGCATCATGCTGTAACTGTTTGCTGTGTTTTCATGTATTTTATCTGATTTTTTTGAGAGTTGAGAGTCATGTGCTTCCAAATTCAAAAGCCACCAGTGAGGCTCAATGAGAAGTCTGCTCCTCCTCCCCAGTCACCAGCCCCTCCTGCAGAGACCAGCACGACTGGACCTGGCATCCTTTCCAAGAGCTCTGCGTACAGGGGCAGATGAGCATGCTTTTCCTTCATTTTTGACACAGAACTTCCGTGGCGTGCCTTGCCCTTTTCACTCGCCAGAGTATTCTCACTGCCCTGTCTCCTGTGGTGAGAGGGTGGTGTCCTGTGCATAGTAGACCGTAGCTTAGGTGATGTACGTGCACCTCACAGACCTCCAGGGTGTCACCAGTCTGCGTTATCACAGTGAATAACTTCGTACATGCACCGTTTTGCCGTACGTATGTGGGTGGGTCTGTAGGACACATTTCTGCAAGTGAAATTGCTGGGTTAAGGGTGTGGCTATTTGTAATTTTGGAAACATAGCTGCAAATACATAAGAAAATGTCCAACAATTTAATAAAAATATAGGCAAAAGTATGAACAGTTCACAGAAAGGGAGCTGCAAATTGCTTGCCAACATATAAACATATACTCAGCCAGATACATTCATGATAAAAGAAGTGTGAATTCCAGCCACTCTGAGATATCCCCACACACCCACCAGAAATGCAAAAGTGATAAAGACACCAGCATGGCAAGGATGCATCGCTGGTGGGTGTGGAATTGGTCCTAGCACTTAGGGACACAGGGAGGGACCTCCTACAGCAGCTCCCGTGCACCTCCCGCGCCGCCAGCCGTTCTCTTCCGTGGAAATACGTATGCATGCCCACCCAGGCATACCACAAAGCCCACGGCAGCTTTACTCACCAGGGCTACATTCCAGCTGTGGTTGAAAGGCTGCTGAGCAGAAGGCTGGCAGGTGAGCCGTGGAGGCTTCCTGAGGGGGCTGGCAGGGCGCTGAGCATGCAGGTGAGGACACACACATCAGGCAGGCTGGGCAAAGGTGGCCAGCGCGGGGTACCTGCTGACGTCCTGCTTCCTTGCTGTGGGTCATAGCGAAGGCCCACCTGTGACGGGAGGCAGAGCGGTGGTTCTCTTGGGATGGGGACTGAAGGGGCAAAGGCAGCTGCCATGTCGTGTCACATAGGTGTGTACATTTGTGACAATTCATGGGGTTGTGCATTTATCATGTGCAGGCACTCTGTGAATGTCCTACTTCCATTCAAAAGGTAAAGAAACAAGATTACTCTGCTGTGAAACAGTTTCACCTAACAGATTGGAAAAGACACAGAGCTGTGACATGCCATGTGGCCAGGGTGTGGGACCCGCTGTCCTTAAACATTGGACTGGTGGGAGGGTAAACAGGGTCATCTGGCGAAGGGTTGGGGGGAGGCTGGAAATATCTGGCAAAAGTGCAAACGTGTCCCTGTGGCCTGTCCTAACAAGGCCCCTAAAAATTGGAATGAATTTTGTAGTCACTGTAACCCCTCACCCTGGTGACCCACTGTATCTGTGACTGCAAGTCAGTGACAGTCTCTGTGTCTCCACAGCCGAGAAGCCCTCCGTGTGCAGAACAGCGACGTTTTCTCCCATGTGGAGACGCCTGCCCAGTTCCGAGGACCGGAAGCTTCTCTTTCCATCCGTGTTGGGAGTTTCAGATAGCAGCAGCAGTGGCACGTCCCCATGGGCTCCATGCTCCTCACCCATCTTCCTCTCCACCTCTCTGGTTGGGTCCACAAGAGTGAGCTTTGTTGGTCTGTGGACTTCTGGTCAGGTTCCCCAAGCTTCAGACCCCCAAATCCTTGGCTTCATTACGTGCAAAGGGCTGGTTCCTCTCAAGAAGGCCAGTGCATTTGGCTGCTCAGCTCTGTGACACACACTAGCTATGGGTGGTGGTGCAGACCTGGCTGCCATACATGCAGTGCCAACCAGGTACTGACCTCTCGACTGACACCTGACCCAGGTGCCTTTTCTACCTGAAAATGTGCTACTTGTTAATTAACCCCAAGTATGGGCACAATGCTTAGGTCTGCTGTATAAGGTACACATGCTCAGTCCCTTCTTACACCGTTCAGATGGCTCTTGGTCATTTGCCTTGACACAGGTTCTGAACTGATGCTGTAATGGAAGGGGTGTTCTGTTTTCTGGACTTTATTTTGCTCACACCATTCTGGTCCTCACATACTCCGTGCCCCACCTTTGGTGTGAGTTAAACCTGTGATGCTGAAGTATGAGCTTGTCCCATGATGGGGAGACACCTGACACCTCTGACATGGAGTGGGCTCAGCTAGTGTGTCAGCAGCGTCCAGTGTGGCTGGCTGGTCTGACCTGGGTGCTCTGTGATCAGAACGTCTTAGCTGCCAGGGCCACTGCTGCCCAGTGCCTCTGCCTCTCTTCCTGCCCAGAAGCCTGGCAGGCAGGAGGGCCGAGGCAAATAAGCCTGGCACAGCCTGTGGGTTGCAGGTTGTCCTGGGTGGGCCAAGTTGATTCTCCCAAATAGCTTCTATTAAAACGAGGAAAAGAAAATGTAAATTAAGATTTTTTTCCTCTTAATTCAGCAAAGATCACGATTCAACTTAAAAGAATTTAACTGGCACCCATGACAAATAGAGCACCTGTGTCACTGAACTGATTGATTTCAGACCCTGGGACAGCTGACCTCAGACGCCAACCTCAGGGAAGGCAGCATTCCTAAAAGGTGTCATGCGTTCTTGGCCTGGTGGCCATCTGGGTTTCGGTTTTTCACCAGTCCCCATATCACTGGAATGTCGAGATGGGCGGGAAGTGACACATGGCCCTCTGCCTGTCCCACTGGATCCAGGTGCTCGGCTCCCTTTGGAGCCTTTTCCAAAGAGCTGGCACTAAGTGGGCAGCCCAACTTTTCCTTCTCTATCAGAACCACCATTAGAGAAACCTTCATCTTCCATACATTGTCCTAGAGCATCTGTGCCATAAGTTGTGTATTCCTTGCTGTTGACGCTCTTGGCACTGTAAGGAGTAGGACTTTGACTGGCAAGCTGCTTTCCAGTTCTCAAACACTAGTCTCTGGAGATGCCCACCTGGGGTGTAGACTGCATTTTTACGGAGGGGTATGGAGGGTTTTGATGACACAAGAACTGTCCACGTCATGACTGAAGCTGGACACCCAGCCCGTCTGTGTGTAAGCCGTTCTGTTCTGTTACTTTAACTGACATATTTCCTTAGTGTTCCCCTTCATCTCGTCTTAAGTTAATGAAATATTAAATGTAATAACTGAAAAACTTTGCTTTTGAAAAGCCAGAGGCTTCACTGAATGTCCAAGAGCACGGTGAGTGTGCCTTGAAGTGCCGTCCGGCAGGGGGCGCCGCCCGCAGCCAGGCCAGGAAAGCCTGTGTGCTCGCTGGCCTGGCTTCCCTGTTTTTCATTTGTTTTGTTGTTGTTGTTGTTGTTGTTTTAAATTTGGGGGTGGAGTGGGCTCCACAAGGAGAAGCCGCAAGATTTTGTTAAAGAAAAAATAAACCACTTTTAAAGGTGTAGCCCTTGGTCTCTCTCGGATGCTGACTGCTCACGTTCTACTTGCTTAAGAGGAACTGCCATGGCCTTTTTCCCAAGCGAACTTCGGTTGCTGAATAAACATGGTTTATATTTAGAAATACTGTATCAGTACTGTCTTAGAAACAGCAGAAGCATGTTTTGGCTTTAAATAAATTCAGACTCATGGGAAAATTGCATCGGAAGAAATTGGATGTGGTCTGGTTCTTTTCCTTCTAGGGAAATAGGACGGTGGTGGTGCTGGGGTTGCAGAAAATGCATTTATTCAACTGGGACTTTTTCTAGCCAAAAAAGGGAGGAGGCAGAAGATTTCCCTGAAAACCCACAATGATGGCTCCTGAGATGTTGGTTTTCCTGTGGAACAGGCTTAACTGTAGGACCCTCCACCTGCCTGGACAGGGCGTGAGCAGCTCCTCCTCCTCCTCCTCCTCCTCCTCTCCCTGGTGACACCCCGGCTGAGCACAGCCACAAGAGGGCTCCAGAACAGGGTGCATGCATCCTGGGTACTTTCATTCTGGAGTCACTGCCCTTCGAAGAGGAAAGTAAAGCAGTGACCTCCGTCCACGTGTGGAGAGGAAGAGCGTTTCCAGCTCCCGCCAGCTCTCTATTTACGCCACACACGCGTGCACGCACACGCATTCTTGGCACCTTGTGTCTGTGCCCCTGTGTGTGTGGCTGCAGAGTGTGCAGCCAGGGCCCTTCATCTGCAGGAAAGTGCCCTCAGGGCACGTGAGCTCCTACCAGGCCCGGGTCGGGTGAGTGCTCAGGGCGGGAGCCCCTGCCAGGCCCCGCTGTGTCTCCACAGGTTCTTTCCCTGGCAGCCCGTGACACCCTGTTAGCCACGTGCCTCTTTCCAAGAACCTGTGAAGGTCCCAGGCTTGATATGGACCACCTGCTGTGGGCAGCACCGAACGGCCGTGGTGGTGAGGAGCAGGTGGGTGCCCAGAGAGCCTCGGGTGCTGGCGCTTTTCTCCCCACGCTTGGGCTTCAAAGATGGCAGCACCCCACTGTCTTGCAGCCGTTCCGCCACCCACCCACCCCACAGGGCGCATCTCAGAGCCTCCAGCTTCCAGCCCGGAGGGGTGGTCCAGCAGCCTGCAGCTAAGGGACCGGTGTAGGCCCACCTGGAGCCAGGGTCCAAGAGGGTGGAATGACAAGACAACTCTCTTCTGGCACACAGGAGAGGCCACGAATCCAGTGGTCACTTACCATGGTGCCCTGGATCAAGCCGAAACTGATCAAGCATTCTATTTGCTTTTCTAATGGGGGGGAGTTCTCAGAGGACCACCTCAACAATAGAGACCATGGCCTTCCCCCACATAGCATCCTGCGGTCACACAACACTTGGACTGTCCCCTTGCCTTGAGATGGCCATCTAGCCTCTCCCCACCGCCAGATGCCATCTCTTGAAGAAGTCTCTTCCTGGCTGTTTCCTGAGGCAACAGTCAAGGCCTGTGTGAGACGGCCCCCTGGGCACAGGCGTGGAGGCTGGGAGAGCCCACGCCAGCCTCGCCCCTGGCCTGCTCCTGCCCCGTCGTCGAGGTGCCATCAGCGAGCCACAGGTTCCAGCTTCTGTGCCGGAGAGCTTGCCTGTGACTCAGGCCCACCTCCAGGGCCCACCTACCCTTGACTCTCATCACAGCCACAGTTTGCTGGCTGTGTGTCACAGGGCAAACTGTGTAGCGTCTCTGAGTCTGCTTCCTCCGATGTAAAATTTAGATGTCTGCCTTAGGGGAATTAGAGGAAGTAATTAGAGGAATTTAGTGTAAGGCCCTAAAGCCAGTACCTGGCACAAAATATGTGTCAGTCATCAACATTGTGATCATTACGGTCCATATCCTTGGCACCGACTGGTTTAGTCATGGGTGTGTGATGCAGCTCTAGCCGACCGAAATTGGGGGAGGTCAGAGGAAGCTAGGGCTCCCTTTATCCTAAAAAGAGACAATAAAAGTGGCAGCATCTGCTCCCACATACCTTACACGGGATGTGATCATGTCTGCATGTGATTGGAGCTGCTGCAGCCATCTTGCAATCATGAGGCCTGAGGTCCTGAATGGCCACAAGAGAGGGTGCACACCAGGGAAATAAACGGGGTAGTTAGCATGGAAGGAGGGATGAAGAGCTGCCAGGGTGGCAGCCAACACCTCCAGAGCCCGTGCAGCCCTTTTGGACCCTCCCAGCCTGATTTTGTCTCCCACAAACCCAGTCTCCATCCCTTACTCCAGGAAACTGGGGGAGGGCAAAGTGACCTTGATCTTAGTAAGGCAGAGCCCTTGGAATAAAGGTACTAAGAGGAAACCGAAGAGTTTCAGGTGTGTGGTTGTACAGACAAGATCCAAGAAGGCTAGACTATTAGCTAAAACGGCCAGCCCTGCCCCTCCTGGGCACAGGCTATATGTGATCAGGCAGCCTTTGAGCCTGAGCACCTCACACTACCCAGTGCCCCACCTCCCTGCTGAATTTTTAATCCAACAGATCACAGAGCCCACACCCTGAAAAATACAATAGCATTCTGCTTTGCTTTCCAGCCACCAACAATTCAACCTATTTTTGGGGCAGCTGAAAAGCAATTCTGAATCCAGATTGGAAAGATGTTTGGCCACAATATTTTATGCCAAAGCACAAGGAACGAGGACGAGGACTCTGACGATGGAAGATCAAAAACAGGCGTGTTTTATTTATACACAGAACAACTTATTTACAACACCCAGGTATGGACTATGTACATAACATACAAGAGGCATTTGCTTCCACGGTGGTCACTGTATAAATTAAGGTTATAAATATGAGGGGTAAGCCCCACCTGAGGGCACAAAACCTTTCTTCAAGACGCCCAGGGATACCGCCGCCTTTCCTCGCTCCACAGACGGGCCGGGAGGCCCACCCAGCAACTCGGGGCGGGACAGGGCGGAGAAGCAGCCCCACGGGCAGCAATGACGACACCCCAACCTAGCACCACCGGCCCAGCACCGACGGGCGGTGTCCTGAACATTCATGCTCTCATTCCTTCCCACGTCTAGCTTGTCAGAATTAGAAAAATGGTTTTTACGTAAACAATGTCGTTTTAGTCACTGAAAACATACTAATTTCAAACAACACTCCTGACCAAAGCCCAATGCTTTCCCCAGTATGCCGCTAAGAACCTGGGGCGGCCTGATGTCCCCGAAGCCGCCATCAGCTTCTCCTCCTCCTCCTCCTGTTCCCTCCTCACCCGAGTTCCAGTTTCTTCTGGAAACCTCAGGGCCCCGGCTGTCCACACCACCAGGACAGCAGTGCTGGGACTGAGGGTCGGGTTCCCGCTATTCCTGGGAGCCTTTCCACCTGGGAAATCAAGTGACTTCCATGGCTGGCTTATTCCTCCTCCACCTCCCTCCATCTAAAATGTTCTAGGGGAAACTGAGTCATAGGTGGGAAGGGTGACGCACAACCGCTTTCCACCCGCCACGACTTCCAACGAGGCAGCTCAAGTCCATGGCAGAGCGTGAGGTTCTTTCTCCCAAAAATCCTCAAGCCAACACACCACACGCAGGGTCAGGCGGCTGTGCCCCATGGACTCGGCCCAAGGCCAGCCCCTAAAAGGACCACCAGAGGGCCAGGGCACACAGAGGGACTCACTGGGTACACTGGGAAAGGGGACAGGAAAGAGCCAAACACTGTCCAGCTGTCAACCACCCAGGGCTGGTGCTGCTGCAGACCGCGGCCCTGCGTCCATGCCCAGCTCTGTGGTGCCACCCAGCCCCTCACAGGCCAGAGGTGATGACACAGAAGGGGCTGGGATGGTGTCGGCAGACACTCCTAACACTGTCCTTCTCTCCAGGCTGTGGAGCCACATGCCAGGGCCTCCTCACACCAGGGCCTGGGCTACAGAGAGCCTTTGCCAGGACATGCTACAAGCCCCTGTGATGACCATCTCTGAAAGGCGAAAACAGGGCAAAGTCAGTGCCCTGAGGAGAGGCATTATCCACCTGGGACTGTCTCCACAGGGCACAGTCCTCTCCCCAGGGGCAGCACCCCACTGCGGGCACCGTGCGCTGGCTCAGAGCCGGCTCTGCCCAGGACTGGAGCTCACACGGGGACACAGGCAGGACAGGAGCAGAGTGGAGCATCGAGTCAGCAGGAGACAAGATACCATTGCAGGGGCAGAGGTTCTCAGGGCAGCCTGTGGCCTCTGGGCTGCCAGATAGGCAGAAGGGCCCAGGCCATGCCTGCCCACCAGGCCACACTGCCCAGGAACCGCAGAATGGGCTTCCTTTCTAGGGACGTGCTTCCACACAAACAGGGAGCTGACAACAGTCCTCAGTCCGCAAGAGATGGGCTGGCAACCCCTCACAGCCCAAGCTGGACTTGAGGCCTAGGGTGTCCAGCGGGGACAGAAGGGAGCGAGTCTCCAACCCACAGCTCAGAGGCAGCAGCGGAAGGACCCAAGGGGCCTGAGACACAGGGAGGGGAGCCTCTCAGATCGGGAACACGACCCCTGAACTTGGCTTACGCACACGGGATTGCTTTCTTTTTTCACGTCAAATTAAACACGCCTGGAAATACGTCCATGCCACTTTCAAACCAGGAAAGAGCAGGACCTCTGGTTTTTTGTTTTTTTTTTAAAGGCTTATTTAATATCGGGACGACAGCAGCGGGCTGCCTTGCAGGACTGCCGTGAAGGGCCATGGGCGCCGGGCCCAGGGAAGGTTCCGTTGTGGGACCGAGGCAGGCTGGGCCCCGGACCATGATTCTGAGAGCCAGGAGCCAGGAGGTGGCGCCACACGGTGTGGCCATGGACAGGAACCCCCAGGATGAACCTAGCATGTGGCCAGGCCCACGGTTTCTACAGCGGCACCAGCGCCCCAGAGGCCAGACTGCCAGTGCCAGCGCCCCGTGGCCCACAACACAGCCAGCGTGAGCTGAGAGTGTGTGACGCGTTGGCCCCAGTGGCTCCGAGCTGGAGACGGTGTTGTTTCTAAGGTAGCTGTGTTGGTATGTTCGAGACCCCAGAGCTGTGATGAACGGGTGTCAGAGGCCTCCTGTAGCTGACAGAGGGAGTAGCACCATGAGAAGGGGACGGCCAGTGGCAGCGTCCCCGGGCCTCAGTCGCGGGAGGCGCGGAGGACGCAGGCCGAGAAGGCGGAGGCTAGGCCTCGGCGGCAGGTGTGCTGCGGCTCAGCTCCTTGATGCCACACAGGATCCTCTTCATGTGGCCCACTTTGGTCACGCCCAGGTCCTGCAACAGAGAGGATGGTCACCATGGAGGTGGGGAGAGAGCCTGGACCAGAGGGGCTCCACAGACAGGCCTGTGCCAACGGCCCTTCCCACTCCACTCCTGAATACAAACAGGTGAGAATGACGACATGACACGAGATGGAAATGGCGTAAAGGCGACAACATGCAGATCCAGACATCATCCCCGTGTTCCTCGAGGTCCCTGCCGTCACCAAGGGCAAGTCCAACAAGACAGAGACACAACCCAGGCCTGAGAGCAAGTGGATGGCAGGTGACCTTGGGGAGCCACTGTCCAGGACACCCACAGTGGCTGCTGGCCCCGTTGGGACTCAGCCAGGAACTCCGTGCCCAGAAGGCCTGCCTCTCGAGGCCAACCCAGGCAAAGGCATGGCTCTGTGGGCTGTGACGTGGCGACTAGTGCAGTCCTCACCCGACATGCCCTAGGCTCCCCCGTCTGCCACTCCCTGCAGGATGAAGGTGCGGTGCCTGCCCAGGAGCAGGTGGGCACAGTCACATGACTGTGCTGCGGGATCTACCCAGCTCTTGCTCCTCACACAAGACAGAATCTGGAGGAGGCCTTGGCGGGTACCCCCTTTGCCTGAACAGCCGTCTAAAGCCAAAACTCTCTGGGGTGAGGCTAGCAGTACAGGGGCTGTGTCCCCAAATGGTAAGATAGTCCCTGTCTATCAGGCTAAGAAATCCAGGTTCCCCTGTCGTGTCAGCTCCTGGCTTCATTTGGCTGTGGCAAGTGGAGCCATTACCATCAAGGGAGAGGGCTGCACCCCCCACCCCAAGGTGCACGCAAAGGCCCGAGAAGAACCGTGGAAGGAGCCGTGATGCCGGGACAAGGCCAGGTCAGGGGAGAGGACAGAGCTGAATGGAGCCGCGTGGAAGCCCAAGTGCAGGTTCTGGGGAGACGCCTGTGGAAGTACCTTGAGGTCCCTCCGCTCCAGGTGCAGGAGCTCAGAGCCCCGGATGTCGTGCCGTGTGAAGATGTCCTTATACTCACAGAGACTGAGGTGCTCCAGCCAGGCAGCAACCTCCTCTGTCCCCCAGAGGTGAACTGTCGGAGACGGAAAAGCACGAGTGCAGTGAGTGCCCCAAGCCCAGCGCGAGGCAGACAACGGCCGGCACCCTGCACCCAAGATATCCCAGCAACCAGCGTTTGAGACATCCCGCCAGCCAGCACCCGAGATCTCCCAGCATCAGCACCCAAGAAGCATCTGGCAACAGTGCCCACCATGCAGCCACAGGCACACCCAGCGGCAGTGCAGAAAGACGCAGGGGAGCCACCCATGAGGGCGAGAGCTACAGCAGAGTTGGCATCTGCTCCTGCCAGGTGGTCCACCAGCCTTCTAGATATTCCCCCGTGTCCCAGGAGGGGTTAAACACCACCATCTATGAGGAAATCATCAAGACCGTGTCCAAAGCCAGCTTTTCCTCCAGCTTCCAGAGGGGTTAAATTTCACTTCCAGAGCATAGCAGGAAGGGAGGCAGGTAGAGATTTTGATTTCACATTGTCAGAGCCACCATCATTAACAGAAACCCAATTTCTGGACAAACAGGCAGAGAAGAAAAATCAAAAGGAGCTACTCTTACTGGCAGCAAACGCCACCCCCAAAATCCAGGCTTGGGGCCTGCCTGGTGCCTGAGCACACTGGACACAGCCTTGGTGCTCAGGGCGGATGAGATTTTAAGTCCTGCTTTACTGACCCAAGGGAAATATGTCCATTAGTGCCACTGTCTACTGATTTCATCACCCATAATCATTGCTGGCCTGCAGTTCCCAGCGTGGGAACCTTGATCAATGCATCGATCAATCAGGAGACAGCAGGCCATCAGAGGAGCAGGTGCAGCGGGCCCCAGCACAGCCTGAGTCCAGAGTTTTTGTCTCCAAGTTTGTCTCGTCACCTCTGCTGTCTTCCTCCCTACCTCCAACCTCCGGGCAGGCAGGACAGCTCGGTGGCCCTTCACCCCAGAGTCCCCACGGAGAGCACATCCAGGGCAGGGTGTGACGAGGTCAGCACCCACATGTGGAGAGGGAAAGCAAGTGAGAGGTGGTGGTGTAGCCCCAGACAGACGAGTGTGGCTGTGTGACTGGGGCTACAGCACAGGGACCCAGTGGGAAGAGCCCAAGGCCAAGGGGGAAAGCAGAGGCCAGGAGAACTGGGCCAAGACAGCTGGCAAGGACAGCCAGAAACAGGCGGGAGGGGGCAGGTACCCGGGGCGCCCAGACTGCTGTGAGCTTCTTTGTTCTTGTTGTTTTTCTCCTTTTTAAACTTGGTCACAAGGCGGAATTTGCCACTGCGGCTGCGTTTAGAAAGATCCAACATCATGTTCTGTTGGGAAGAGTGAGAAACACTGAGAATTAGACCTCAGTCTGTCAAGGTCTTGTTCATGGCTCCACTAGAGTAGTGGGAGTGTGGGAGGGTGGGTAGGAACAGAGTGGGGAGCCAGGGGAAATGCTTTTTTCCTTAAAGGCTTTTATCCCATATTTGCTCTTATGTTTACTGTTTATTTTAATGCCTTTTAAGGTGGTTTAAAAGTGATCATAGTGTCTATTTTTATATTCTATTTTTTTCACTTTATAACATATGCATTCCTCATGTGAGTAAAAAACTTTCTGAAAGTATTATTTAAATATCAGTATCAGACTCTAGTAAATGAAAATTATTAAAACAAGTTGGCCAGGTGCAGTGGCTCAAGTCTATAATCCTAGCCCTTTCGGAGGCCAAGGTGAGAGGACTGCTTGAGCCGAGGGGTTCGAGACCAGCCTGGGTAACTTGGCAAGACCTTGTCTCGACAATAAATAAATTAAAAAATTAGCTGGGCATGGTAGCATGCACCTGAGTTCCAGCTAATTGGAAGGTTGAAGTGGAAGGATCACCTGAACCTAGCAGGCCGAGGCTGCAGTGGCCATGGGCATACCACTGCACTCCAGCCTGGGCAACAGAGTGAGACTCCAACTAAAAAAATAAAAATAAAATAAGTTATTTTAATCTTCTAGTGTTAGATTGCTAGAATTTGGTCATTGGTTTTTGAGTATCTTTCTAAATAAAGTTTCTCCTGCACTTGGCATTCTTTCCTTGGAATACACTCCCTGAGGTAGAATAGCGGAGGAAGAATGAGCAATAGAGCCACGCAGGAGCGCTGTCTCTGCTCTCCGCAGCTGTCATCAGCAGCCGCCTCTCCCCAGAGCACTCCCAAGGACATGCAGAGGTTACAATGTATCACTTTGTGATCTGCTATTTATGAGAAACCTCAAATAAAGCTTAAAAGTTTGAAGATAAAAAGAATTACTAAATATAAAAGGATCATTACATACTGATAAAACCTATATGTACCCAGTAGCAGCCTCAAAATATATAAAGCCAAAATATACAGAGTCACAAAGATAAACTGAGACATCTACAATCATGGTAAAAGAGTTAACTGGTAATTGATATATCAAGAAGACAAAAAAAAAAAATTCAGCAGGGGTGTGTGATGTAAATACAACTGCATACAAGGTACATTTACAAAAACCAACCACCTACTGGGCCATAAGGTAATTCCCAATAAATTTCAAAGGACTGGTAATATAAAAAGCACTGTGTTAAAGGCCAGGCACAGTGGCTCATGTCTCTAATCCAGCACTTTGGGAGGCTGAGGCAGGAGGACTGCTTGAAGTCAGGATTTTAAGACCAGTCTAGGCAATATAGTGAGACCTCATATCTACAAAAAAATCAAAAAATCAGCCAGGAGTGGTGGTGCACACATATAGTCCCAGCTACTTAGGAGGCTGAGGCAGAAGGATTGCCTGAGCCCAGAAGGTCAAGGCTGCCGTGAGTCATGATTACGCCACTGCACTCCAGCCTGGGTGGCAGAGTAAGAGCCTGACTCAAAAGAAAAAAAAAATCAATTTGTAAAAAGACAATTAGAAAAATCCCATACATTGGAAAATAAGAAACATACTTTCAAATTACTCATTAAGATGATTATTTGGCACAGTTTTATGACTATTACAATCATCATGTTTATTTATATATATATATATATATATATATATATATATAAAACAACTATTATATTTTACCAATATAAAGTAACCCTCTTTTTACCATTTATTGTCTTAGGTTTACAATTCTATTTTTAAACTGTTACTTTGGATTTTGTATGGGTTTCTAAAATCTTTCTATGTCCTAAGTTTTTATCAGGGGTATGGGAAAGAAAACAGGGCTTATGTGAGCAACATACAGCAGGGTTTCTTTTGAAACACAATCTGAGAATAATCTGTTTTTAAGAGGAATCTGTATCATTTTTCTGTTCTTTTTTATTATATTAGCTATGTCTTTGCTAGTCCCTCATTTTCTTTTACAATATAAATATTTTACTTTTGCCTTTGTAGTGATTTGGAAAGACATACATCTTTTCAATTGTTAGAGATTCCCGTTGGGGAATTGGCCACCCATTCCCCAGTGAGAGTTTCTAACAGAATTTAAAAGATGTATGTCTTTCCAAATCACCACAAGTATGTCCACGTAGCAAACATGCATGCATACCCTCTGAATCTAAAATAAAAATGAAAAAAAAAGGAAACTATCTTTAGGTTTTTAAACAACATGACTGACCCTATATTTCCCTAATTCTCGAAGTCAAGAACGTTGTTTCCGGCTTTCCTCCACCTTGAGAGAAGGAACTGAAGGTGCTTCCTGCCCTGTCCTCTTCCCACCACTTCACTTGCTTTGTTTATTTAATCTGGAATTACAGGGCTCTGTCACTGTTAGAGCTATTCTATAATTTATAGATTATTATTTTGGTAATTTTCAGTAAAATTTTTATCACTTTTATAATGAACTATTTAATCAATGTTGACAAGGAAGCTCCATCCAATGACACCAACGCCGGAAGTTCTCTGAGTTGCTTTTCTACAAAGGGTTTGCATGTCAACTGACGCCTGAGGGTCTCAAGAAAAGCATGCTGAGCACAACTGCCCATGCCTAGTGTCTAGCAATTAGTTATCTTCTGCAACTGTGTTGCCCAAGGTGATCTTTCCCCTTTGGTTCTATCCCTGAGAGAGGGAGGCCAAGCGGCAGTCTAGATTTTGTGCTTGTCCAGACACCATCTTCTCCTATGCGCCTCCTGCCTGTTCTCCCCACTGTAGGATGCGACTGCCCCCAGGGCACGAGATGCCCTGTGTCCTATCCCTCCCAGCTGTAAGATCTGTGGCCAGCCGGAAGATCTCTAAGTACAAACGGGGGAAAGAGCGGGGAGTGGCGCACCCCCACTCTGTCCCTGTCCATGGCGAGCTCCCATGAAGCAGCCATTTATCCAATCAGGCTAGGGGTAAAGTTGTGGAGCTGGGATACACCTTCTTTCTACCTGCTTCCCAGCCAGCCCTGCAGTTCTGTTTCAGAGAACAAAGATGCCTGGTCATCAAGCGGCACTCTCAATCCCAACCTCAACTTCTTTCTCAGCCAAAGTCTCTCCCTGCCTTTAAGGACATTTTAATAGAGAAGTCTCGAGAAGGCCTACAGGGCTGCCAGAGCAACACCCTCTGAATCCCAGAGCTGCTCAGGCCACACTGAACACAGGCACTGAGGGCAAGAGCCAGACACCCAGCGGTCCCCCTAGCCGCTCCCCATGGCCCACACACCTCTTCGTCGCCAGGCTCCAGGAACTGGCAGAGCCAGGGCGTGTCCGCCAGCCGCCTGAGCTGTCGGTCCATCTCGGCAAGAGCGCTCCCGAGCCGCTCCTTCTGAGGGGGGTCCAGCTGCTGCTCCACAGGGAGAGAGGGAGAGAGCGGCTCATCAGCGGCCAGGGTGGGCCCAGCAAAGCCCTGGGCGCGTGGGGGGTCCGCCCCAGGGCCGCGCCTCTCTCAGAGCTCTTTCAAAGCCTCTCCAGAAAGTCTGAGTCACAGAGCACCAGCTAAGGGGCCAAGCCCAGAAGCTCCCTTTCTGAGCAGTGTCAGATGAGAGAATGAAAACTGTCCTCTGTCAACAGTGGCATCACATTCGGCAGGGCTGACCCCTGGCCGGCTTCTGTCCCCCTCTGGGCTCCCTCTGCCAGCAAGCAGCAGGGCCATTCTCCTGGTCAAGAGGGAGAGCGCGGGCAACAGAGCCGCAGCTGTGCCTTCAGGAAGGAACACAGAAGCTGGGCCCGAGCTGGTCCTCCCAGGGCAGAACCTACAGTGAGTCCCGTCTATGTCCTCATTTCTGAAAACTTCTGACTAGCTAGGCCATCTCTCAGCCCCCTTCCCCGCTCTAGCTTCTGTGATTCAGTAACCCCCACTCCGCCCCCATGGCTCCCCCGAGGCTGACTTATCAGTCGGTTTTGCAGGGGCAGGTGAGGAAGGCGCCAGGCACGCCTGGGATGTGGCCAGCAAACGCATGGAAGGATTCTGCCTCAAGGCTCGGAGCTCTGGACTAAAATGTGCTGCCCTCTGCACCCGGCGGCCTGGTGACGGTGGCTTTCACGCACAGCTGGCCAGAGCCCCGGTGCCCCAAGCGTAGTTTACCAGGGCCATCCTCCCAGCCAGCAGTAGCTCCGTCTCACTCCGCAAGGCTCTGAAGTTGTTCACCATTTCCAGGACAAAGCTGCAGTTCAGCCCCTAAGAGAAACAAAAACATGCATGTGTGTGGAAAGCCAGACCTTGGAATCCAGGAGAAGCCAGACCAAAAAGACCAGGTACCTCCATGGTCCTGGGCTTGCCATACACACGGTCCATGGACTTGGAGCTGGCATTGACAGCGTGGGCAAGCTCCTGCTCCATGTCTCGGTGGGACTGAGCGATTTCCCGGATACTAGAGAGAAACACAGGCAGGTGTCAGGCCACGTTAAGGGGCCCTTCACATCATTTGTTTGAACACGGCCCAGGTGCTGTTTGGAGGGCTTGCCCAGCAGAACGACAGAACCACAGCCTGGCCATGACGACTACTCAAGTCATGATCACAGACACAGACAACTTTGCAGATCATTTCCTGACCAATGGCAAACAAGGAATGGCTCACAAGGGAAATCTGACGTCAAAATCCAAGGTCTTCCAGGGAGGAAAATGCACAAAATGAAAATTACACCTTGTAAAACGCCAGCAGGCAGGAGAACTGTGAGCAGGCCCACTTCACAGAGGCCCTGCAGCAATGCATGGATAGACCCAGAGGTGCCCACACATGCCACTTGGCCTCCGAAAGCCCAGAGCCTTCCTGGAACCTATACCTGGCCACTCTGCACATGAGGACAAGAGGACTCTCCTGTGACGGGGACAACCTGGTTATACTGATCGGCTCTGAGCCAGACCCCGGCACACAGCCCAGGAAGCAGCAGGTGGGGAAGATGGTGAGAGCACAAGTCTGTGTGGGTCTCAGAGAAGCCTGACTGGTGAGCTGGGGGGACGGGGACAAGAGGAGAGGCCACCAGAGTATCCTTTTCCAACCCTGCAGAAACAGGCTGCTGCCTCCACAGGGCTGTGCTGTGGCAAGCCCGCCTTTCAAGGCCGGCCACCAGAGCCACCATGGGCTTTGAGGTGACAGGAGTGAAGACAGGAGACCACACAGCAAGAAACTGAATGCTGGTTAAGTGAAGCCCTCCAGCCCTGTCACTGATCACACAGTATGGACACTCCCCAGAAACAGAAATGCATGTGGATGAGCGGGAGGGTGACTGGATTGCTGGGTAAGAGCCAGAGGCCGGCACAGGTGGCTGATCTGCACGCCCGGTGACAGGTTGCCTGGGAAGGGCACACAACATGCCTTGAACCTGGGGTGTGCCCGCCATAGCGGGAAGAAGAGGGAGAAAGGGGGAGGCAAGAGAGGTATGCCAGGAGCACCAGCCAGCGTGCAGACTCAGGGGAGAGGCAATAGCGGGAGGGTCAGGCCCAGCCGGAAGCAGCACTGGGTGCTGGCTAGAGAGGGTCACAGGTCAGCAGGCGGCAGCAGCCACACAGGGCGAGTGGGGAGAAGGGATGGAGGACAGAGTGGCTCCAGGAGCATTTTCCAACAGAGAGTGAGAGGAAACACCTTTTGCAGTTGTCTTTCTTTTAAGTAAACAAGCAATCCTAGTTCCTGGCTAAAGGGAGGCCAAGTGAGGGAGGCTGTGAGTAGCTCTGAAGATCACTGTGGGTTTTTGGCTTTCAGCTTTGTAAAATTCAAGTGGTCTCAGGGAATACACCAAAGCCAAAGAGCACAGAAGCAGGTTCGACCCTCATGGGTGACACAGACCTGGCAATAAAGCCTAAAGAAGCCCCACAGCTGGCAAGTCAGCAAGGAGCACAGCTCCCCAGGGTCCTGGGGAAGGTCTTGTGGCCGCCAGGAGAGAGCCCACCTGTGAATGAGGACCCCTGCTGCCTGCCCAAACTGGTCCATCTGGGTGGCCTCCTCCTCGGACAGCATCTCGGGGTGCAGGGAGCAGGATGGCGGGCGGGGCAGCTCGCACTTCTGCTTATCTTCCCAGGACTTCAGGGTGTTCTCAAATGCCTAGGACACAACAGCCCAGATTATAGTTTCTACTGCTCCCGAGAGGGCGAGTGCATCTAACTGAGATAAACTCTACTGGGATGCCAGCAAGGTAACACTAGGAAAAGGACAGCCAGACTTTTTTTACACTGGGAAAGGAAATGATCCTAGAAATTACTGCTCTATTAGTTTAATCTTTGTGTCTTAAAAATAATACTAGAAAACTCTGGCTTTATTTTTTTAGAGATGGGGTCTCACTCTGTCACATAAGCTGGAGTGCAGTGGCATAATCATAGCCCACTGCAGCCTCCAGCTCCTGGACTTAAGTGATCCTCCCACCTCAGCCTCCCAAATAGCTGGGACTATAGGCGTGCACCACCACGCCTGGTTAATTACTAGTATTACAATTTTTTTGTAGAGATGGGGTCTTACTATGTAGCTCAGGCTGATCCCAAACTCCTAGATGCAAAAGATCCCCCTACCTCAGCCTCCCAAATTGCCTGAATTACAAGTGTGAGCCACTGTGCCTCACCAACTGGCTTCCCTTTTAGAAGTGTGCACGTGAGCCCACAGGTGAGCCCTGGGACCCTACCCCAGGGAGCTGTAGGCAGCCATAGGCAGCCGTTCTTACCCTGTCTCTGGTCAGTGTCTGTGCCCGGTTCTTGTGGACAATCCGAATGTATCCTGGGGGCTGAATCCAAGCCTCTCCATCCACCTGCACAGGTACGCCCTCCTCCCCGAGGATGGAAATCTTCACCGTGCGACACTGAGCAAACATCACAACTGTTACCTACGTGCCATCAGCACCGCCACAACCTTCCTGCTCTCCACACCCAGGTCTGTTTTGCAGGACCCTGACCAACTGCCACTGCAGTGACACTACGACCACAGATGACTGTTTTGCATCAGATCATCACCAATGCATGTGGCTCACAGAGCCCCGGGTCTGTTTTCCTCACTCTTCTCCCCCATCTTGTCCCCACCATCCCCTCACCAAGCCCTGAATGAGCATCTGACATCAGTTAGCGCAGGGGACCTTGGCGCTGGGATATGGGTGTCAGAACCCAGGGGTGGGCGGAGTCATGGCCTCTAGCAGCTGCTGGGTTCCTGTCACATGCAAACACCCCAAACAGAGCAGATGACCACAGTTGATGAGGATACTCTATTCCTCTTTTCAACAACAAAAAAAGTGGGCAGAGTGCAAGAAAAAGACCAGGGGCCCAGGCTGAGGTTCAAGCCAGTGGGTGTCACCAGCACCCTCCCTGCCCCTAGTCTCTGCACTTGAGATCAGACTCCCCAGCCCCCAGTGGCCACACACAGATCCCCTCCTGGCCTATCACCGGTGTTAGAATTAAGTCAGGGAGCCCTGGTCCCACCCCTCCTCTCCTTGGACCTCAGAGCAGTGCCTTGAGGCCAGCCCCCAGTACAAAAATTGCTCCCCACCAGCCAGAGCCATGGGCTCCGTTCCCACAGTATGGCTGCTGCTCTGACAGCCGCAGCCATGGGAAGCAATTTGGCCTGGGTCACTCTGCCTCCCCTACTTCAGTAGGAAGAAGGCAAGGCCAGGGCTCAGGTGGTTTACACATTTTCAGAAAGTGATTTTGAGAGTTTAACTGTCAAACACAGTGCAAGGAAAGGGTTCTGGCCCTGGAGGTCAGGCATGGGCTGTCCAGAGCTGAATGTGAGATGGCCACATGGCCCTGGGAAAGCACCCATCTGCTGGGCTCCATGCACTGAGTGAATTTAGGGAGTTCTCAGCCAGACACCGCCCCCCGCCAGGACCACGGCCATTACCTGGGCGATTCTGTGATGCTGCAGCTTAATTACTCGAGAAACCGCCATCTGCATGCTACCAAACACGGCAACCACTTCTAAAATCTTGTCATCGAAGGACGGAGCGGTGAAAGTCTGAAAGGGCCACGCTAGAGCTGACCACAGCCCACGCTGCCGTGCACAGGCCTCCCTGGCATGTGTTTCCTCCCTGGACTGGCCCTTACTTCAGCTGCTGTGCTGGTAATCCAGGTGCTGGGGGTTTTATGTTACAGACCCTGAAACCAGCTGCCTGGGACCAAATCCCAGATCTGACCTTGGAAAGTTACTTAACTTCTCTCTTCCTCAGTTTCCCCATCTCCTCAGGGGTTGTTAGGAGGCCTGAATGAATGAATATCTGCACAGTGCTAGATATTCAGGAAGTGCTGTTTCTAATCAGTTATTATGCACAGAGGCAGCCCTTCCCCTCGCTGAAACCTATCAATATCTTTCCACAGTCCCTAGCACAGATTCCAAACCTCTTCCCTCACACAGCACCACGTGATCCAGGCCCTGTGGGCCTCTAGTTTCCTTCCACTCACCCACCACAATCTGCAGTCAGGGATCTCCATGCACCCTGCCCCTTCTGGCCTCATGTACATTATTATTCTTCTCTCTTCCTGAAATAGCCTCCCCTCCCCCATCTACCTGACGCGGCCAAGTTGCCCTTCAGGTCTCGGCCTCCTAGAAGCCCCTGACCCCCCTTCTATGTCACAGCCCATCCCTCACAGACCACATCTGCTCTACTCAGCCCTTTAGACGATGAGCCCTGTGGATGAGAGGCCCTGTCTGTCTTGTACTCCACCCTACCCCTGCCGCAAGCTGCAAGAACGAGGGAGGTATTAAACGACCCAAGTCTCAAAGGGACCCCTCACTGCTCTCTGGCTGCTCCTCCCCCACCCACCGAGCTCACGCCCACCTGCCTCACACCCCCATACATACATCATCTTCCTTGGTGCCCCCCCAGAAGTTGGTCCCTCCAGCATAGCTAGGAATGTTGAGGACAGCAATTCCCTGAAGACTGGGCAGCGGGATGGGTCGCCCGTCACACTAAACAGCAGAAATGTAGAAAAGGGAAACGCACATGTCAGTCGGTCCTTCTTCACCAGTGTCTGCTCCCAGGGGCTGAGGGACACAGTCGCAGCTGGGACTCCCTAGGAGGAGCTCGTGCAGCAAGGAACGGCTAACAGGAAACCAACAACCGACGGGCCTGGCGGTCCGCTGAGGTAGGAGGCCAGCCTGCACATGCCAGGACCCTTCCCACTCACCTCCAGCAAGACCTTTTGCTCCAGGTTCTTGTAAGTTCTGTGCAGCAACTCTTTGGTGCCAAGGACTCCATACCACATCATGTTCTTAGTTCGGCTCCTACAAACAGAAGAAAGATTTGCCACGGGTCTGGGCTTTCTTCATACAGTCACCATAGTCACTGCTGAAAGGCTTGGCGCGGCATCTGACCACAATCAGCTCAGTTCAGCAAGTATTTACAAGCAGCACACAGCTGAAGGTAAGGAGGACACATTTTTTGTTTTCACAGATATGCATAAAGAGATATTTTTACCAGGAAATGTTGCTAAATACTAACACTGTGCTGAGAAAGCAATTGTACCCTGAAAGGCAAATAAAGTTAAAACATTATAGAGCCTCACAGAAATATCATAAATCCCGATTTTTTTTCTGGCTATAAAATTATATTTACCATAGAAAATGTGGAAAAATGTACAAAAGCACAAAGGAGAAGACAGTCTTCAAAACCCCAACACCTCTACATACACTCCACATATACTGATGACAAGTGCTTTCTTATTTCCTTAGTCTTTCTAGGCACGGATTTCCAGTTGAAGTAGCTTGTTGACACAGTTTCACGGCATACTTTGCTCCCGCTACACTGTGCTGCAAGCGCTGTCCTGGGTCATGGCACATTCTTCACAGACATGACTGTCCTCAGCATGGCATTTCTCTACCATAACTTATCTGATGGATGCCTCTGACTGGGCTCTAGTGCCCCATGCTTGAGCTCTGTACATTATGCAGCAGTGGGCGCCACTGCATCCGCCTCTTAACCAAAACTTTTAACTACTTCCTTAGGACTGACTCGTAGAATGGAATTTTTCTAAGGAGACCTTTTCAAAGCTCTCAATACAAACTCAAGGAAGGTTAGACAAGGTTTCCAAGGCTCTGAAAATGTCCCTGCTCCTCAGCCATGTATTTACTTTGCTAAATGTTGTATATTTTAATGTCTTTTCCAATTATCTTGGACTAACAGGGATTTTTAAATGGCCTGACTTCACCATTATGTGCTGTGTAACAGGGATGTGTCCTTGGGGATTCCTGAGTCATTTCTTCCACTTAAGAGTTCAAGGGTTTTTCCAAGTTCTTATACTTCCATTTTCCTAGAAATTTCTAACTGCATATAACCTGAGCAATCACTAAAGTCAGCCCCTCAGGTGTGAGTGTGGCTCCCCTCAAGGTGGCAGTGATACCGCATGGAGGGTAAGGTCACAGGGTTCCCGAGGGTTGGTTCCCTCAGGTCGATCCTGACCCAGCAGATGAAGACTCCATCAGAGGTCTCCTGATGCCTGCGTCAATGACCGTGCTCTGCACAAACGGCTCAACCTTCTCTCCCTCTTCCTAGTTCTCCTAAGCACATCAAACCTGACCAGTCTCTTCCAGATTATTCCTGTGAGATGGGGTGAGAGACATTCCTCCTCCACTTCTCCTGTTTCGCAGAGGAGAGGGAATTTCTGCTTCAGCCTGGGAAGACACTTGGGACACTTGGGAGACATTCTTCCCATTTTCTCTGTCCTCAGTCCAGCCCGGTAGGAGGAGTATATGGTAATGTCATGGGAAGAAAGTGAGTGTCCGCTGCGATGCCCCTCAGGGCTGTCAGGCAGCTGTAGGGCCAGCAGGACTGCTGATGGACACACAGACTCTCCCTCAAACAACACTGGGAACTCACAGAGTAAGTACAGTAGCTGAACACACTTTATGCCACCAGCTCCTATATCACAGCATCACAGGTTTAGGACTCTTGTCAAGAGACACAGTCATTCCAATGAATGTCATCACTGGTTTTCTGATGCTGAATTTGCCGTGACCTGGCTAAATGTAGGGGTGATACCCTCTTCCAGGTTGGCTTCCTGGACAGTTACCCATCCCCCCACCCCCAATCTCTGAAAGAACCTTTTCTCCTAAGAACAAGGCAACCCAGGCTCTGTATCTGTCCCCCGCCTTGGCGTTCTGCACATTCTTTAACCTGTGGGCTTCAGAAATGCCCTACCAGCTGGAGGGAGAAGCCACAAAGATGTGACTGACATTCACTCACAAGCCTGTCACCTACCTGCATTTCTCTGGATGCTCATCACGCTTGTTGTTAAAGTCCAGGGATATCTTTGCATCCAGGCCAATGCCAAAATAGTTATTCATAACACATTTCTCCGTATAACACTCTCTGCAAAGGTGAGTTTTAAATCAATTACCACAGCCCCGCTTAGCAGTTTTATTTCAGACTCCTGACCTCTTGGCATTTCTCTTCCTTAGGACGAAACTGATACCTTCTTTTTTTTCTGATAAGAGATTTGCTGAGACATAATTAATAAACCATATTATCTGCCCATTTGAAATATATAATTCAATGATTTTTAGAATATTCAGAGTCATTCAACCATCTCTTTATAGAACATTTTATTTTAGAACATTTCATCACCCCATAAAGAAAATCCATGTCCCTCAGTCACTGGCTCCCAATCCCCCATCCTTCTCCACTCCCTGGCAGCCACTCATCTACTTTCTGTCTCTATGGATGGGCCTTTTCTGAACATTTCACGTAAATGGAATCAAACTGTTCAGGCCTTTTGTGTCTGGCTCCATTCCCTGACTTAGCAGGCTGTTTTCAAAGCCCACCCATGCCAGAGCACATGTCAGCACTTCATTCTTATTGCCAAAGAATATTCCCCTGTGTGGATATCCCATATTTGCTTATCTATTCCTCAGCTGATGGACATTTGGGTTGTTTCACTCTGGTTATTGTTTGTGAACATCTGCATACACATTCTAGCACAGACATATGCTTCCAATGCTCTTGGGTACAAACACACAGCAGCAGACCTCCTGGGTCACATGGAAGCTCTAAGTCTAACCTTTAGAGGAATTGCCAGGCTGTTTTCCACAGCAGTTACACCATCCTACATTCCCACCAACAGTGTAAAACCTGAAAAAATCTTTATGGCACATAAACACACTCATTTGAACTCAGACCCCAAAACATTCCCATCAGCAATAGCCAAATTAAAAAAGAAAGTGACTTGAAAATGTCCATCCCAGTCCCATGGCAACAAAGTTTCTCCTGCCTGGTGTATGCTGCTCCCACACCCAGCCATCTCCTTCTGGCTGCTCCCACCAGCTGGAAGCCCAGCCCTGCACTCTCACCTCCCCTCCCCACCCCACTCCCCCACCTCCTGCCTGCTGATAGAGTCCCACCAGCCTTCCCCTTCCCCACACAGGGGTCACACTGGGGCTCCCCTCTGGACACGGGTATGAAGGGAGCAGTCCCTGTTCCTCCACCCAGAGGATGCAGCAAGGAGAGTACATGTTCTGGAAGTTTCCACAGAAACGCACAGGGTGACTGGGCTCAGGAGCATTGCTTGGACCAGAATTCTGATGCATTTTAGCTCACTAAGCTCTTGCCTGATCTGAGAACCAAACACCACATGCAAGTGTATTTAGGATAGATCTAATTCAAGCGCCTAAACAGCTGAGCAAGAGCAAAGCTCTGGGACAAAATTGTTTACCAAGCTGAAGATCATGTGACTGGCCAGCATTTATAGGTCCTGGGAAAAGAGAGATATAGCCCAGGGAAACAGGGCACAGAGACAAGGGAAGGAGGTAGACAGGCTGAGCTCAGGGACTGGAGTAGGAGGGGCAGCAGCTGCCTGAGCAGTGAGAGACAGGCTCAGGGGTCTGCTCAGGCCCTACTGCACTGGGGCCCAGTACAGCCTGGCACACAGTGGGAAAAAGGCAGGAGAACACAGCTTTGTCTACCCAGAGAAGAGGAGATAAGGAAGAGAGACCACCAGGTTTAGTAATCACAGATGAAGGAGACAAAAGAATTACCAAATTCAGGGGCCCCTAGGGCACTGTTCATGGACAACTAGTTCTGGCCTTACTGAGGAACACGGCAGGCCCTGTCCCACTAGGCCTGCACTTGCTCTGCTTCCCCAAACCCAGAGCATCTGGGAACAATGCACTTCTCACTGTCATTGTCCCTGACCATGCCAGAGAAATGGTTGGCCACTTTTAACCAGCTGCTTAGAACATGTAATCAGCCAGTAAAAAGAGGCTAAGAGAAAGGAATTTCAAAGTGCCACTTGTCTCCACAATAATCCCTAATCCACAAGAAGACCCCATTAAACTGCTAAGTCAGTGTCCTCTGCCTTAGGAACTGGGCAGGGGAGGAAGCCCCATTCCCAAAGGGGTGGCAGGGTCCAGCACACAGGTGTAGAGCAGCAACCCAACTTCCTGCTAATGCATCTCAACACAGGACAGTGTCTTTGTGGGTCACTGTAAGATGCAAAAGGGGGACCCCACAGAGGAACTCTCCACACCAGAACCCATGATCGTGCATCACAAACAGGGAAAGTCAGCCTTGTGGAAAGCTGGAGAGAGATGGCAAGAGGAAGAGGGTTGAAGAAAGTGGACAGCATGGGCTGCCAAGGTAACGGGGAGTGATGCGAAGAGCACGGGCATGGGCAGCTTCTGGCAGGAGCGCTGGGCCCAAGAGCTGGGGAGGGGGCGCAGCTCAGAGGATGGTGCCACCGCCAGGACCTTGGGGCAGTGGGAAAGCCTCTGCCATCGTTTCCACAGCATCCACAACTCCTCGCTTTCCCTTATCAGTGAACACCAGCTGGGAAAGGATCAGCGGGCAACTGCTCGCTAAGTTCTCTAGTTAATCCTGAAATCCGTTTTGTATGCTCTCACATTCTGACAACCATATGCCCACTTGGTTTACCCTCACACTCACAGGTTTTCCGGTTCGGAGTTGAAGGGATCTGCATTAATTAACAAGCGACTGATGACTGAGCCACCTGGCAAGGACCCAGACATCCCAGCCCGGACACCTGCAAGGGAGACACAGGGAAGAGATGTGGCTGGCCAGGAGCTCCAGACTTCAGAGACTCGTGTCTTCAAGCCTGATAAACCCATATTCTGCAGAACATTATTGTAATTAAGCATTTCTAAAATTATATACAAGTGTGCCCATATTTTAACACTTAATAGTCTCAGGTCAAAAATAAACCATCATCATTCCATATTTCTGGAACAAAAATAAACATATAGGGTGATAGAAACTAACACCTTTGAGGTACCTAAAAAAAATGGCTCATGAAGTGAGTTCTTATTAAATATAAGAAGCTCCACCTAAAAGATCACTTAGAGTTCAGCCATGCAGTTTTATAAAGCTAAATTCACAAGAATTAACATCAAGGAACACTCCACCTGGCCAGGCCCTCACTCTCCCTGTGCCTTCTACAATCACCCTAAAAGTGACAGGACAACCCCCGGGCTCCCTCCCATGCTGGCCCACCCCCACTTTCACATAGCTCTTCTGTATTCTTCAAACTTGACTCAAGCACCAGCTCCTCAATGTCTTCCTGGGCTTCCCCAGTGGTTATCTGGGTACTACTTGGCATTCGTAAAACGAAGACACTTTTCACACAGGCACATAAACTTTAAAATTCTGTCTTTCCCAGGGACATATACACTCTCCAAGGGCAGTGAGCCCACCTCATTAATGCCAACAGACCCAGTGTCTAGCACAGCGACAGGCCCAGTGCTGCTTCTTGGACCCCACCAGCCCACCTGGGAAGAGGACGACACTCACTTGGGTACAGGATCTTGGTGTTCAGTGCGGGCAGGCCATCTCGGCTGCCTGACTGAGGAGGAAGAGAGGCAGAACTGCCCAGGGACAAGCCTCCTTTGCTGATCAGCTTTTCACATGGAGATTTAGATACTGGAACAACAGAACAGAAAACCTTAAGACTGTCTGAAATAGAACACTGCTGAAACCCTGGGGGCTCAGCGAATTAAGCAGGTGGGAGGGCTGAGGCAGCCCTTGTGAAGGTTGCAAGATAAAGAAAGAAGGCCCTGAGAAGGAGGACAGAGGAATGAGCGGGACTCGCACAACACACGAAGGGTTTGGACTCATCTGGAGGGTGGTGACACTGGAGGGAGAGGTGACGCCTAGTCACAATCTGGCAGATTGACAGAATCCATGCACGGCAGGGCTCCGAGTGGCAACCACCTAGTGGTCCTGGCTCCCATTCTGAGCAGATTCCTCCTTGTGGTCTGCACAGGATGGGGTGTGGGGGAGGGACACTCTCCTCCCTACCAGGGTCTGTGCTGGGGGGCTGTTCCAGGAAGAGTAGGAGTCCCAACCCTACCAGACTCTGCCCCCCTTCTGAGCAGTTCTTGAGTCACAGCAAGGTTCTGAGGAAAGCAAGTGAGGACAAGACACCAAACACTCCCTGGTGAGGAGGGTCATCTCCCCGCCAGTGGGAAGACTCGCTGGTTCTGCCGCGTCCACCAGACAGGCCTCACACACCCCAGGTTCATGCAAGTGATGTGTGGAAACAGGCCATGCTGTGACTCTTCATACAGTCAAAATGGCCAAAGCAACCATGAGAAAGCATTCTAAAGGCTGCACACTGGGCTCGCTAAGTCTCAGCAGAACCAACGTCTGACCGCGACGCTGAGGGAGGACAGGGGTGGCTGGTACCTTTGCGCTGGTTCCTCCCCTTGTTGACCACACAGCTCTCGCTGTGGGACAGTGGTGGGCACATCCTATTGTCCGTCTTCTCCTCCGACTCAGACAGACCCAGAATGAAGCCCTCCTGCTCCTGGGTCTGGGCATTCTGCTCATCAACAGCTGTCAAGGAAAGCATGTGTGCGTGCAACTGAGCATATGGGTGTGCAGGCCAGAACACCGGAATGGCGGAGCCCTGCTCCTCACCTCACAGCCAGATCTTCCTCAAACGGCCTCCGGCTGAAGGCTTGGACCCCGAAGCCCCACCCAAACCCACCTTCTCCCTGATCCCCACACGGTCAGTATGAGGACCCTGAGGAGGAAGGACTGGGAGGCCGAAACCATGGAGAAAGCAGACTGAGTAACAGAGAGGAACCCAGAGCAGCCCAGAGGGCCCCACCGGCCACTGGTATACCAGTGTGCTGGCAGGAGGCTGTGACCTTGGGGATCTCAAGCAGGCTGATCACAGTGAGATCTTTGAGGGCTGAGAAAGGGGTCTGATGCGAGGGAGTGGCATGAAGTGGCTTCTGAGGGCAATGAGGAAGTAGGTCGAGGACAAACCAGCTGAGGGGGGTTTGAGGTCTGAGGGAAAGACAACCACGTTCATAGGTCAGCGTTGTGGTTTTTCTTTCTTTTTTTTTTCTTTGAGTTGTTCGAGTCTCACTCTGTCACCTAGGCTGGAGTGCAGTAGCACACACAGCCACAGCGGCCTAAACCTGCTGGGCTCAGGTGATCCTTCCCCCTCAGTCTTCCAAGTAGCTGGAACTATAGGCGCACACTACCACGCCTGGCTAATTTATTTATTTTTTTATTTATTACAGAGATGAAGTCTCACCAAGGCTGGTCTCGAATCCCTGAGCTCAGGCCTCAACCTCCCAAAGTGCTGGGATTACAGGCTTAAGCCACCGTGCCCAGCTGTGGTTTTTCAAAGGACACCTTTTTGTCTGTCACCGTGCTCAGGAGACAACTGGGAATGCTTAGAGCCTGCCTGGAGAAAGCCACTTCCTCAAGAGACTGGTTACCTTTTTCTGTGTGTTCTATGATCTGACGAATTGCTTTCTTCAGGCTGTTGGCCCTTAACATGAGTTGTTCCCGAGGCCGGAATATCTGTGGCCGGGCTGGGCAGGCCGATGCCACTGGGCGGTCCCCAGCAGAGCTGCAGATGCTGCCTGACCCATCTCCGTCTTCAGCCTCCTCAGCAATGGTGGGGGGAGGGTTGGGTAGAGAGGATGAGGCCTGGGACTCGTCGTCCAGGGTCTTGAGAAGAGAGTCCAGCTTCTCTTTCAGGACAGAGCACTAGACAGGGAAAGGAAACGGCATGCAGAGAGCTCCTCTGCAACTCCATCTCAGCCCCTCCCGCCCCGAGGTTGTGGACGAACCTTCTTGGCCATGACCTCTGACTCCTCCGAGCTCTCGGTCGCCTTCTCGTAGGCCTTCCCCACCCGGGCCACAAAGTCCTTCACAGTCTCACAGAGCACTCTGCAGGAGGGAAAACAGGATGCTTCCAGAGACAGCTCTGGATTGGGAGCTAGGGCATCAGGCCTTCCCCAGGGCCACCGGGCACTCACTTGGCCGATGAGATCACCACTGAGTGCTGGTCTGAGGTCAGGATTTTAGAAAGATGGGCTGCAACCGAGTCTTCATAGAAGAGAATCTGCTGTACCTACAATCACCCCAAAATAGGGCGAGGGCCTGTCAGTCTCTGTGATGACCAGCCCTCTGACAACTGAGCCCTGGTGATTCTTTCCCTGCCTCCTTGCCAGCACAGCCCTGGAAAAATGGCTCTCCTAACACGGTCTCACCCAGCAAGGCCTCAGCTCATGTCCAGTGTTAATCTAGAATTCACCTAGTGCTACATGAAAAATTTCAAAAGCTTCATCAAGCTGCAGACACACTGGAAAAATGACTCTTCTTCAGTGTGAAATCACAGTACCAGCCTACGACAGGAACCTGCATCCTTAATCCCATCACCCTTACAGTCACACGCCGATGGGCAGGCTCCTTGGTTTGGGCCATATTTTCCATCTGGTTGTGAACCCTAGCTCAGTGTCAATGACTCTCTCATCATTTGCTTCTGCCTGTTGAAATGGGGTCTCTATCCCTATGTGATCATTGCTCTCTTGAGGACCCAGCCGAGGCAAATGTCATCACTGGCCAGATCGTAAGTATTTGGGGCTTTCCAGACATATTCTTCCTCTCACAAAAAAAGGAAACTTAAAAAACATACAAACCATTCTTGGCTCATGAGGCCATATCAAAGCAGGCACAGGCTGCTGATATTGCCCTAGCCCAACGAAGCTCACCTCTTTCTACTGCCCTGACCCCCTGACTGGGGACTCCCTGACGAGCCCTGCTCACATGCAGCTAGTTACTGCTTGCCCAGTGGGCACAAGCAGAGCTGCAGGCCAGCAGTGCGCCAAACAGGATATAAAATAAAGAAGACAAAGTCTGTACCCTGAGGGAACATAAGAGAGTTAAATAACGTGAGGAACAACCGTCAAATAAAACTCCAAGGTGAACTGGAGAAGGTTGAATGAAGGGGCAGCAGGCGTGGAAGATGGTTGGGGCAGCTGTGAACAAGGAGGTGAGACAGGGCAGGAGCCCAGGCTGAGGGATGACTCAGTAGAGTGGGCTGGGATGTTATAGGCTCGGGGGTACAAAAGCAGGGAAGGGAACGACATAGGTCACTGAGGCGCGATGAGATGCATGCAGAGAATGGGAAGGACATGAGGAACACCCCTAGAGCCTAGTAATAACTCTGGGAAACCCTGAGATGGTCATGAAGCCCAAAGGTCTCTTGCCCGGGAGAGTCACCCAGCCTCCAGCTCAGCCATGGGTCCACCTTGCAGGGCTATGACACCCTGTTACCAAAGGAGCAGGAAAGGCAGTGCAAACTGCTGATGAAACGGCACAATCATGCTAGCAGGTATGACGAGCAACCTGGCAGTACCTCAGAATCCTCACTGAAGTCTTCGGTGACGGTAGAGGAGGAGGCTTGCCGGGGCAGCTTGGTCTCATACACCATGACGCTCCACCTGCACACGCACAAGGCAGCTCTAGCCAGGTTATGCACAGGCGTGGAGCATGCAGACCCCCAAGGGCAGCCCGGAACCTCCCCTTTTGCAGATGGGGGTCTTGGTCTTTGCATGATTTCTAACTTCATTTTTAAGCCCTTTGTCTTGACTCTGTCCAGTAACGTGGCTCCTCACCTGGCTGAGAACCAACATTTCCACCCACACCCAGGAGAACCACAGTTCTGCTGAAAGAGGAGGAAGGATGCTGCCCATGGGAGGAAAGACTGACACCCTTCAGGGAGCTGCCAAGGGCTCAGCCAGTAGCTAGCTAGTCAGCGGACAAGCACTTCGCAGCCCCAAGGCACAAGAGGAGCCTCAAGGGTAGGGTCACTGCACACCCACACCTGTCATCAGAACTCCAGGCCTGTGCACACCAGCAAGCGTGTCATTGGTGCCCACGTTCCACAGGCTGGTGCTCAGAACAAGTATCTCACTCGGGGAGGTGCCAAGATGTCTTTAAGCACTAGAGGATGATTACCCAAAACTTCCAGGAACAAAACATGGAAAGATGAAACTGCTCAAATATGTAACAAGGAGTACCTTCCTGATGGGTATTAGATCCTGAGCTGAGGTGGCCAAAGGTTATCGTCTCTGCAGTTCTGATGGACTTAGGTATGATCTCATGAGAAGACCTGACCCTCCTAGGGCATGGTTCTTAACCTGTTTATTTTTATCTTTTTCAAAATCTGACCCCAAATTGAAGACTATCAGAATACATGCTCAGGCCAGGTTTTTACAAACAACTGCAGAGGGTCCGTGGTCTGCGCAGAGCTGGTCAAGGGGGCCGGTCCCCAATGAGCTTCCACTCACATGGCACTGGAACACATTCCCACTCACCTGTCCAACATCTTGGTGCTGGCTCTTTCCAGCTTTTCCAAGATCTGGGGGAGCTGGGTGTCATCGTCGCAGGCCGAGCCCCAGCCTAGCACGCGGGCCAGGTCATTCCCCGTTCCCAAAGGCAGCACGCCCAGCTGACACTAGAGAATAGTGGGGAAGACATGCATGCAAACACCTGCAAGCCAGGACCACCTCCTAGCCCAGCACCTTCCTTCTGAATACGGCCATGGCCGAATAGGTGTGTGGAGAGCCTACCACAGAGGGCAGATGGGCTTTGAAATCCCACAGAAAATGCCAAAGTCATTGACCCCTCCTGCTCCCACAGGCTCTCAGCTATTGCCACATCTTGACAATCAACCCCTTAGGACTTCTGTTTCCAGGATCCTCTTCCTTCCCATTTTCGCCACTATTACCACAACGCTGAAGATTCATTCTGGAGCCGGGCTCAGTGGCTCAGCCTGTAATCCCGTGCCTTTGGGAGGCTGAGGTGAGTGGATTGCTTGAGCCCGCGGGTTCGAGACC